CCTTCACAGAAACGCAATTCATCGCCGTCACAGCTTACCAGAACACCGATGTACGACCGCGTGATATCTGACACCACACTGCAAATTCACACCCTGACAAGTCTATCGCATTTTTACATTTTATTTTTATCTTAAAATAAAACATAACAAAGTGGATTTAAATACAAATCGAGGGAAAAAAAGTCTTTCATTTTAACAAGGGGTTGATTGTGAATGACCTCATCCCACACTCACACTCACACTCACACACACACACACACACACACAGTTCTAAATAAAGAATATATTTTGGGATTGACTCTGCAGTGCTCTAATCTCCATGCACAAGTCTTTGTCTTTCTAATGAATCCATCCTCTTTCCACAGATTACGCAACTAAAAATTGACCACAACCCGTTTGCTAAAGGATTTCGGGACAACTATGACACGTAAGATAATCCTGTTTTCCTTTTTAGTTTTTTTTTCCTTTTTTCTTTTTTAATTCAGTTGTAATACTGTTTCACGTTGCTGTGATTTCATTCTAAAAACTTATTTACAATCAGACTATTTCTCATTAAAAGGGCCCTATAATTCTTCTACAGTAAATATCCTATTTACTGATTTTTTAAAAATGTTATTCAAATTAGAGGGGGCTCATATGATTTCGAAAATGAATCGATTTTGTATTAATTGCAAATGAAACAAGGAGTTTTCATTTTGCATTTTAACCGATAGGAATGACTGTGGAAATATTTGAGAAAAAAACAACAAAAACAAAAAACATTAATAACCAAATATTTTTAAACACGTTCCGTTATAATCTGTTCATTCAGTAAATTCGACTTGTTTGCATGTTGAAGATATACATTGATATCTTAATGATAAGCGATGGAAAATATAATTTAACATATTGATGTTTTTTCATTGTGTAAGGCAATTGAAATGTTTTTACATCCCCTCTAAAAGAAGGGAGATTTCTTCTCTCACTAGATGTGATATTCCACACTAAATAAATGAACTGGTCAAATGGATCCTACATATCTTTGATTTCTAGATGACCAGCTATAGCGCACAGTGTAGTTGCTGAATTGTTTCTCTGTTTTTCTCTCCATCTTTTCAGTGTCTACACAGGCTGCGACATTGACCGCCTAACTCCATCACCGGGTGACTCTCCGCGTTCACAGATCGTGCCGGGTGCGAGATATGCCATGCCTAGCTCTTTCCTGCAGGACCAATTTGTCAGCACTTATGCCAAATCTCGCTTTCACCCTGGCGTGGGGACTGGTCCTGGCACGGAGCGCAGCGTCCCACTCGGCAACAGCTTGCTATCCCCGCAGCAAACCGAGGAGCCCACTGTTGCCACCCCCCCGCAGCGATGGTTTGTCACCCCTGCCAACAACCGACTGGACTTTGCTGCCTCGGCATACGACGCCGCTGATTTCGCCGGTAACGCGGCCACCTTGCTGTCCTACGCAGCGGCCGGAGTTAAGGCTCTTCCCCTGCCGACTGCAGGCTGCTCCAACCGGCCTCTTGGCTATTACGCAGACCCATCAGGCTGGGGAGGACGCACGCCGCCGCAGTACTGTGGCGTAAATAGCAAATCCAGCTCGGTCTTTTCCTGCTGGCCCGCTAACTCAATCGGTGCCAGAGCGGGCACCAACTACCTGGCCGAGGAGGGAGACTCCATCCCGACAGAGAGATCACCGATCGGCGGCTCTGAGGAGGCCAAACCCAAAGACATGACATCTGAGTCAAGCTGGATAGAGACGCCGTCCTCCATTAAGTCAATTGATTCGAGTGATTCTGGTATCTTTGAACAGGCGAAAAGGAGAAGAATCTCACCGTCTGCCACGCCGGTTTCAGAAACGGTGTCCCCGTTAAAATCTGAGCTACTGGCACCGAGAGAGTGTGAAAAGAACTGCACAAAGGACATTGGTTATTACAGTTTCTATCCTCACAGTTAAAACGAAGAAAAAACTCTATCTATCTATCTATCTATCTATCTATCTATCTATCTATCTATCTATCGGTTCATCAACAATAAAAAAAAAAAGATAATAAGAACTGCCACCTCCTCAGTTAATGGCCAAAGTGTAAATTCTTCCTCTACTGACTGCTCAGCCCTATCATGGATTGGGCACTTTCTATTCACACTGTTAAATCAAAAATACAAACACTGTAATTATGAAAATAATGTACATACTACAGGACATTTGGTGATAGTGATTGGATGTACACAAAATAGATTAAATCTGATTAATTCTGTTAAGTAGCCTAAACTGTTAGTAAAAAAAAAAAAAAAAAAAAAAAAAAAAAGATATTGAGGATCTGTACATGAAATGTTCTTGTGTAGCATATACTGGCATAATAATCTCTGTCAGTGAAAAAAAAAACAAAAAACAATGTATTTTGTACTTTATCAAAGCTGTAGGCTACCAAAAGTTTATGACGATCACTGCTACATTCATGATACATGTGGTTAAAGAAGTTATAAATGTTGGTTAATGTAGACTTAGGGTCTTATTTATTTATTTATTCATTTCAGATGGTTATTTTTCATAGCCTGTACGCTCTGCTGTTGTGAAAATCTCTGTATCTGCTGTAACGTGATTGAAACATAATAAACGATGTTATCATCTGGACAAGTAAGAAATGTTTTATTCAGTGTCATATCAAAACCGACATGCATTCAGTTATTTATCTTTAAAAAGGCAAAGAGTTTATATTTGGCAAATTTTCATGAACGCATCATTTTTCCACAAATACGAAGGTTGAATTAGGCGGCCGTGAAACGGGTGATTGAGTTAATGATCCCAATCAGTCTACTCTGAGGCTCCGCGAGACTTTTCCTTCATAGCGAGACTGTACAATGTCTATGATATCCTCCATAATTCAAAGTGATTCAAGTGTTTTTTTCAAGGTAGGCTAGGTCCCTACCTGACTGAATGGATCTGCCTATAGACTGACTCAACAATAATTTTTGCTGCAGCAGCGTGTTAGAATTAATTTGGCATTTCCATAGTTTGCCAAGAAATTTATGAGGGTGAAAACTTTTGTGCGTGCGCGTGTGTGTGTGTGTGCGTGTGTGTATGGTCATATCTGAAAAACTGTGAAGTTGACAAGTTTTCTGTCCAACGTCCAAAGGAAGTGACACATGAAAAGAAAGTCTCGATTGTGTGAAAATGTGCACAGACCCGCAGCAGCCGGGGGGGGTTGGGGGGGGGGACCAACAACACGTGATTTTATAAAATATGTGGTGAAAGTGCGAAATCTTTTAAAATATAATTGATTGCACATTGATTGGTTAATTGCCGATTGAATCATTCAACCTCTGTTTATGCTCTGTCTTTTTTAATAGCGTAATTTGAAAAATGATTGAACACATACCAAATTAATGAAGTTAAGAATACATATAATTAAAGCTGACGCATAATAAAGTCAGTGTGCGCTTAATTGGAATTTCAGTGTGAAGGAGATGCTCACAGCTGTCGATAAGAGCTGTGCTATTTAGCTTGTCACAAAGAGTGTGTGTATGCGTGTGTGTGTGTGTGTGTGTGTGTGTGCAAACGCTACCTCTGACAGGCAGCGATGGGCCTTCCCAGGGATAAACAGCAGATGGCGATAAATGAATGCAGGTCCTGTGATCGAGCAGCTCCTCAGTTTGTGGCTCCGGGATCTCGGGAGGTCAGAACAGTCCAGGGGCAGCTATGAGGAAGCGCACGGATTTTTTAAAATTACCATTTATTAATAATAACTTCTATTTATGTCTCAATTATAGAGCCTAACTGCGGTTTTCCTCTGGATTCAACCACACATGGATTGTGATTTACACCAGATGGCGGCACTTCACTATTATTAAAGGGATCCCTGCTGTTAACAGGACTCAGAACTGCGGTGCCAAATGTGTTTTCAACAGCAATCCCCAAGCTCTCATGAACACCACCAACAGGCTTGTAAACACACTCTCTGACAATAATAAAAAAGTAAAACTATAAGAACTCACAAGTCAAGTCACAGTTCAAATACCAATGTGAAAATAACAAAAACAAGGTTTTTTTGTAAACAAACAAACTGGATCATCTGCTAGCATAGGTGGCTGGAATACCTGCACTCAGTCGGACTAAATGAGACATGTGTAGGCCTGGTCATCCTCAGGTTCAGTAACTTCAATACAACCCATGGACACTTATTTGTCTTTTAACAATAATATAGATATTGGTCCTCAGAGGGAGGTCGAGGAGGAAAGGTGGAAATGTGCCAACAACACAGCGACCACTGCCTTTGACGCTGGGGGTGATCATTTAAAGACAATTTAAGACAATAATAAATGTCTCTCTCAGACTTAAAATTATGAAATCCTTTCACATCTCTAAGAATTTGGCCTTGATCCATTTGTGTGTGCATTGCCCTGAGTTTCACTATTTTTATCCACAGAGATATTCTACATGCGGCTTTGATTTAGCAGTAATACATCGTCAACACAGATCTATTGCTTTTCATACTTCGTTCATTTTAAGGTTGGAGGAAAATGCCTGAGAGGACTCAGATAGGCAGCTGTATCAGTCATACAAGTCTAAATTTTATCCTTTAACACAAATCCCCGGAGAATTTGTAAATAGTCCTACCGGTCAAGTATTTGCAGTTGATTTGGGTTTTTTTTTTAAAATTAGTATCTTATAGTTTTCTATATCTGTTTTTTTTTTTAAGTTCGATTTCTATGAACTATGAGTGAGACACTGTGTGGAAAATGAGAGTCGGGCTGCAGCTTTTTCTGCTAAAATAGTCCTCATGAGTAAGCCTATCCCCACTGAGTCACAATATGAAATATTTGTATAACCTGTAACAACACATCGTTTGGAGGGAAAACACGGTCTCTTCTGACTTCAGTAGCCTAATGTTTTCTGTCTTCATCATATGTCAATCTTCATCCCCTCTGTGTCTGAAACAAAGGCTGAACATTTCAGGAGTGACGCGTCCACGTCAGCTATGCGCATATATTTATTTTTTTCATGAAGTGGGACAGCGTCTGAGAAGCGCTAATCATCTCCGAGCTGCTGAGCGACGCCGATTTAAACATGTGAGCGGCTGTGTGGTCGCTCAGTCACTGCCGCACCTGACAGGGATTTACACACAGCGTAGAGCTCTGCTCCATCCCTCTGCTGCCGTGAAGCGCTGAGAGAGAAGATCATGGACACCACGGACCAGGGTGCTCAGATAGAGCCGCTGCTGCCATCGGTAAAGAGCACTGATCTCTTGGGACAAATATTTACTTATGTAGATTAATATGTCAAGCTTAATGCTAGTGTGCTATATGGGGGGGTGGGGGGTGTCTAGTGGAAAAATGTAAAAGATGCTCCAGGAGGCAGACGCAGAGTGTTAAAGTCAGTATCCTTCCACAGGTGATGATACAGCTGCTCACTGTGGAGCTTTTACCCGCATAGCTCTAGATACTCACTTAACAGAAAATTACTTTGTCTTTTTAATCAACAGCAATGACAGTGTGTCAGCTTTCAACATGCTGGTGCTGCAATATTGATTGAAATCTTATTCATTTAGTGAAGCCAAAATGTGAGTTCATCTTTAGAGGCATGATGAGAAAGTTACTTTCACTACCAGGAGGTAGGAGGTTTCAATGTGATGCAGTTTTACAGTAGAACATTTATGCTGTAGCAGTGATTGAATGAGGTCCCATTATATTGTGCTATATAATTTTAAACAAATCGCTATTGTGACAGATGTCCTGTTAATATAGTAAATTCAGACAGAAGTGACCTTGTGTCATCTCATCATGTAAATACACTGTTGGTTAGATTAAAGTTAATGTAAAATGCAGTAAATGTATCATGAGAGGATGCTGCTCTGTCATAGCTGCCCAAATGCAAACTGAGGCAACTCACACACAGATATCCTCACAAAGTCAAGTGCTATTTTAATATTTTCTTTTGTAGAAATTCTTAGATTCAATCCAGATAAAAGAAAATAGTCTCTCAGGGGATGTTCTCAAAGAGAAGTAGGCCCATTCCCATTGGTCTTTGCTGATCACTTTGGAGGAGATTTGTTGTCATTATCCATTTGCTGTTTACATCAAAACAGATTTTTCCATTTAGCTGATGGTTTTAGACTCACAGGCTTTTGGTACTACTTTAGTGGCTTTGGCTTCAAAATGTTGGGTCACAATGTGACCTCAAAAGTCATTTAAGAATTTAAAAATAACATTTCAGCGTTAATCTTTATCTGATGTGGAGAAAAATATGTTCAAATGTGAAAATGTTTTGGGTGGCTGATTCCTAAAGTTTGGAACTTTCTAGATTACACTGAATAAAACTGCAAAATATTCATGAACCTTCTACCTGTTGAACTAAAGTGATGTTTTTTTATCTTTCAGGTGAATTCTTCCTTTGTCTCATCAGTTGGGCGTAGAAGTTTGGTGAGTTACATTCCCTAGATTTTATGGCTTCTGTTACCACAAGGATCAAAGTTAGAATTAAAAACTAATGTGCATTTGTTATTGCATTGAGGTAATTGATTTTTCTTTGATCAAATTCTCAAGAGGGCAAGTAGAAGACAGGCTCACTGGTGGAGCTGCAGAAACAGTTCCCTTGGTGTGACCAAGTTGATTCAATGCTACATGACAAGCTTTTCTTTATCTTTACAGTATGGAGAGAGACAAGGCTCAGTATGAACCAGGCTTAGTCTTTGATAAGATGCTGCTGGGCAGCAGCACTGATGTCACAGCTATAATCTCGTGAGTCTGGTTGCTCTGTTGATAGATGCTCAATCACAAATTACTGCTGTTTGACACACCAGAAGGGCATCAGTATTTATCAGGCATGGTATGAACCAGGGCAGCAGGAATTTGCGCTGCAGAGCTCAGCTTTTAGACTGCGTTGCACTCCAACTAAACTGATAATGGCAGAGGACACAGAGGGAAAGCTCATGCATCCTGAAAATTCAGAGGATCCTTGGCTCTTCAAATATCAGGTAGGACAAGACTTGACCCTAGGGATCTTCACTGTTCTGACACGATGGAGTTAATATTCTAATTGTTGTGGTTAACAGAGGGGAAGGTGTATGCTTTCTCAGGTCAGAATTCCAGGACAGTTTCTATAGATATCGTTCTCTCTACGTGTCCAAAATGAGTAAAGCCTGATAAAACTGTGCAAAAGTAAAAAATAGCACATACCAATTGAACACAATTGATGTATCTTAAGAAGGAGGAAGGCGGGATAATGAAAGGAAGTAGATATTGAGTCTGACAAAATGAGGGCTCAAAGCTGTAAAATACCTTAAATAGCAGCTCTGAAAAAAATAGGATTAATGCGTCCTCTTACAGGATGTTGAAGTTTATTGCAGAAATATTTAAGGATTACAGTGCATTCTGCGCCACATGAAAGCCTGTGCAGTTCATGACATTGCTGCAACTGATGGCTCCAAAGTTGACACAGCTCTCTGTAGGGATCAGATCCAAGAATGTCCCACATCCTGTGATATCACTACAGCTGCGCGGCTAGCTAGTCCTTTAGCATGATTTTGATGGTGAGTAGTTGATCATTAGTCTAAAAAGCAACAGTGGGCTTTAGTTTTGCCTGAGCTGTGAGTGGACCTATACACTTGTACTACACAGGTAACAAATTAAAGGAAAAACCTGAAAAATGAGTGGGGAGACAGGGTGACAATGCCCCCAACCATAGGGGATGAGGGATCAGTGAATGGTTTAATGAGTATGATGTGAATCAGATGCTGTGGCCTTCACAGTCACCAGTTCTCAACTAAATTGAACACCTGTGGGAGATTTTGGGTCAACATGTTAGCGCTCTCTACCACCATCATCAAAACATCAAATGAAAAATATTTCCTGAAAGAATAGTGTTCATCCCTCAAGTAGAGTTTAGACAAGTAGAATCAATGCCAAGGAGCTTTAAAGCTGTATTGACAGCATGTGGTGGCCCAACACCATACTATGACACTTTATGTTGGTTTTCCTTTGATTTGTCACCTGTCTGTATATACAATACTTTTCTTTGGATTCCTATTTTTCTTATATATCTTGAGAATGTAGTTCATTGATCTGATCTAATTCAGATCAGAGCCCATTTTTTCACTTGGGTGTATGAAAATAGTATCAATCAATCAATCAATCAATCAATCAATCAATAAATAGTATCAATCTGCTATGGGTATGTTCTGACAGGTGTTAACATCCTTCTATCCATTTGTCCAGTCAACCCATTTAAATAGCACAAAAACATAACACAGCTTAGTGTATGAGTCATGGCAGCCCCTTCAAGTGGATATCTGTTTTAAGAGGGCTTAACTGATTATGGTGCACTTATTCAAGAATATAGGGGTACAATATACAAGCTCTTCCCAAAAGGATGCATTTTAATTTATATTGAAGGTGCTGGATATTATACAATGTTTAAAATGTTACTATTGTGTGTCAGCACAGAACACAATTAATATAGGCTAATGTGGCTGGAGCTTTAGTAACAAATAGTGGCAGTTTAATCTGAGCATGGATGTTGATCCATGCCCTGTGTATTTTTAGACAGATTATCAACATCAGCCAAGTGGCCTGGCCAGCCCATGTGGCACTGCAGATGTGACCAGCAGCGACCTTCACTATCAAAATGCTTTGATGGTCATCTGGTGGTCAAGATGGCTCAGGGAAAAGCTGGTATCAAGCATTTGACAGGATAAAAATACCTACTGTAATAAGTGCTCTAAATCTTGCTCTATTGAGGAACAGCCAACCCTAAAAATTTAGCACATCTCCCTTCAGCACTTAGTAAAGGCAGTTGTGTGTTTGTTTTGCTTCCTGAATCCCAGCTGATGCTGGTTGGATTTACAGTGAATGGCAGTGTCAAATGAGTTTTACACTTAAGTCCATACTACTGGCGCACTAATCAACACCAGCACAGTACCCAGCTCTAATACGGAATCATGTGTTAATGTCATGTTAATGTTTATTCATCACACATCTCACAGATTGTTCTGTTAACATTACAGCAGTTATTTGATGAAAGCTTGTAGTAGTAATATTGTAGCGTCCCTAAATAATGAGGCTACGAGTCTTGAGCTTATTTCAGCAGTACTTTAATCGTTCACTTAACACAGGCTACTGTAGGCCGTAGCCAACGCCATAACAACAAACCCTTACTGCTTTCACCATGTAATCTCAGCGCTTTTCACAACTTCAACAACTCCCACCGTAGACTAGCTCCCGCTTCCCAGATAACAGCCACAACAACAACCTGTCCCCCACACTATCAGCCAATCACAGGTACGTTGTCTCACATCAATCATAGGTTGTTGAGATAACTGACAGGCTTCACAGCCTCTAAGCATAACACACATTCACTGACAACCTGTAAAATTCTACAATTATGAGCCATTTCTACCTTAACTGCACTTAACATCCTTAACACAGTAACCCTATAACAGAACAGTTACATTAACATGTCACCCGGTCCGTTACAATATTCTTGATCTTATCATATGTATTGATTCATTGTTCACATTCTTAAGACTTCTCAGATCAAACACGTAAAAGTATACAATGTAACTAAAGGCTATAGTCTGTTGTCTGCAGTGGCAGCTGCTCAGTCTGTCAGTGCAACACTTAAGTCCAGAGAGAACTACTGGATTCTCATGACAAGTGGTAAAGAGATTCATGGTCCATAGAGGATCAATCCCAAAGACTTTGGAGATCCTCTGTCAGATCACTGTTTCCCCATAGACTGTGTATATAGATGAACGTAGCCTCCGTGAGATTACTTATTGGTTTGTTAAGAGCAGTTTTGGATGAGCTGCACCGCCGTCGCCATTTTGGTTGAGCTAGACTCTACCTGGGTGGGCCATATGAGGAGCAGAGACATCGGTGCATGACGTTTTAATAACTGCGGAAAGCATTTGCTCCCGTTAGCATCGTTAGCACAGCTGGGCGTCTGGACATCTTGCTCAAAAGCTAAACCATGGCTAATGCCTTTGCTGGCTAATTAACTATTAAACAAGCTAAGCTAACAAGCCAGGTATGGTGAGTGTAGACACCAAGATCTGCTCACTAGTGTTGACATAAATAAAATATATGTACTACAGTTTCACTCACCTCAAAAGGCAGGAGCAGATGTTCACGTTTGTCTTCAAGTTCGTCAAACCACAGTGTTTGTCCGATATTTCCATGAAAAATCTTCCAAACATCACAAACACGGCCGAGAGGTAATTGACTAGCCCTCGAATTAGCTCAGGTGACGCCGGGTCGATAGCAAGCGGCTAGCCAACAGTGAGGCTCCCACCTGTCACTTAAAGTGGCCATGCATAACTTTAAGCGTTAATACCATTTAAATGGGTGAGTTATATAAAAATTCTCCCCTCGTAAAGTTGTCATGTAGTGGGAAATTAGCTACAGAAACCAAAACCGTTCTGTGCCAGGCTGTGAATTTGTACATCGCTGCTTTTGAGTTGGCCATTTTAATACGGCAGCCTATAAAGACTGACTCGCTTTTGGAGGCAACTTCAAGTTGCCAATCGAGTAACTGCAGTTTTTGGCACTTCCGTGCTAACTTCTGTTTTCAGCCTACGGATGCCCCGGAAGTTGTCTCTCGAGTTTCACGTGTCCAGTTAGCTTGTCATCTTAACATGTTGCTAAATTTCGCATGCTAGAATCAAATGTTAGTGAAATGAGGGTAAAAGCAACAGTTGAACGCATAGTTAATAGGTATACTGACTTGCTGGAGTCTTTCTTGTCATTGTGAAGTTGTAAGCCACGAAATCCCTGCAACCTGTGAAGAAATGATGGATAACCCCTTGTAAAACTTCAGATTGCTTTAACAATTCGGCTTGTGTACTGATAAAACAGACAAGATATAACATGTTAATCAGTGGCTGGATTTTGTTCCCCTTGACAGAGCATGAGTGTATTTCCCGGGATGCTGAATTACTTTTTGAAGGAATATCATGGCTTTTCCCCTGGCAGCCCCATTGAACCAACTTAAAAGATATTAGAATACCACCTATCTCTTAATTTCTCGTCCACCAAAACAATTTTAATATTTAATAGTGTCATGAATTATAGCCACTAGCATGGATCTAGACATTTACTTCTCCACTTATCCATATAAAGTCCAGCCTCTCAAGCTTTTAGAAATTACTTTCATAGCATCGTAGTAACCCAGATTTAAATGTTTTTGTATTCATTATATTGTTATTATTAGCCTATTATAAGCCTCTTCATGTACCTCTGCAGTGGTTATGTCACCTTTGTCTGGTGCTCTCTTCAGCGTGGCCATTCACAGTTTAAGGCTGTACAATTCAGCTGTGAATGTTCATGGTGAGTTGTGGTAGTGTGTTCAGATTTGTAAAGGAATGTTAAAAAACTATAAAACTTTCATGATTAACCTACATTTGTTTTTTTGTTTTTTAAGGAAATAAGCACAAGCAGGTGTTGAAACTCTATCCTTGCATGTGCACCAGTAAATGACAAATAAACATTTCTCCTGGTTTTACCAATTCTCTCTTACCCCCTCCTCCCCCTCATATTCTTTTTCTGTGATTACATAAGCAGGCCAACATTCACACCACACAAAGAGAGTCTAAATCGTCTCCTGCTATGGCAATGTTTGTCTCTCAGTCTGTCCTGCTGCATTTCTCTTGTTGAGCAGTCAAAAAATTGTAGCTAGTTTTGGTAACTGCTCATTAACTGCTGTCACATGTGGAACGAGCAGCTTAGTGATGCTGTTGTACAGGAAGGTCCATAGGAAATGCTCAAACAGCTTTATGACATTTGCAGCGGTCATTCAGTATTCTCTTCTGTAATCTGACAAAAGCTCTGCACTGAGGATTATGCCTTTTTTTTTCTTTTTTTTTTGCTCCCTGGTATTTCCACGTTTGAAGGTCTGTGTGGACCAGTGCTATTATCTTCATTTCAGCTGCAGTGAAAAAGTAAATTCATCATCATATCAAAAATTCTATTTATTTTGGAATATACAATAGTTTAATGAATTGTTGTTATTAAATTTCTCCACCAGTTAAGAACAAATGTGATGGTAGAGGTGGTAGAAGAAAGATTGCTAGTGATTTAAAATTTAAAAAATAATTTTTTTTGGCAACAATATAAAATAAGTAACAAGAAAAGAGCCACTTTAGAAAAATACTGTCTTACTTTTTCTAACTTTTTCAAAAGAAAGTCAAGCGATGATTCAACTTTTGAACTGAGGTTCCATTTACAACGAAGCACAGGTCACTGCAAAGGGAGCACCTAGAACAGCAGCAAAACTTTAATTGTAGGTGGGTAATTTATTGTTCCCATCATGAAAAGCTTTTTGTTTGGACTAAGATACTCTTCAAGATGAGTTGTGCAATTAGTTTCCATGGAAACCATGCTATTCTGTGGGATAATGTGTTTGTTCATAATGCCCCCGACTGTGAGGGAACACCAAGTCAACAAACATTTTATCACATGTTATATTCAGAATACATCAGTATACTGGAAGTTATGTTGTATCATGTTCCAGTTCCAGCTGTGTGCTTGATCAGACACCGTATTGAATAGTGCTTATAATATCATTGTATAGAATATGTGATCGTGTGTGTTTATCAATGTGTCCAACAGAGGAACGACGATGAGGCTGTGGTGGACAGAGGAGGAGCACGGTCCCAACAGGGAACCAACTTTGAGCAGGAAGATCTTGAAGGTACCTTGACTGACACTGAACGCGTCAGGAACACAAAGAGCTTGAAGCACTAAAAGGCTGCTGCAGCTGAGTCCGCCCACTCTGTCCTCGCAACTGCTGCAGTCCTCTTGACAGCTTTTTCATAGTTAAAAGATAAGAGCAGAGTGGGAGGCAGAAACTGTGGGTGAGATGAATTCACATCAGTAATTTTATAAGCACTGAAAAACATGGATAATCACAACAAAGATACAAACAGTACCACTGAGTAACTTGAGTAAGCTGCGGAGGGGCTGTCACAATATCACATTTACACTATACGATTATCATGGCTAAAAGAATTCAAATAACAATATTATCGCGACATCTATAGAAAATTACTAAAAAAGACTTTAACTTTGTTTATTGAGTGTTTTGTCTCTTTTTTGGCAAATGAATTGGACCCAAATACAAGTGTAGGGAGTTGGCGAGAGAGTCCATAACCATAACTGTACTAATGCATACAAAAAGAACAGTTACACTTAATGGATAGTGATATTGGCAACCATATGAACTCATAAACAAAAAAGCCACAAGATCTAACATCTTCTATCACAATACTATTGGATATTATTAGCACAATATCAACATTTTTTATTTATTTTTTAAAATATCATGGTTATCATCAATAGCGGTATATTGCGACACCCCTAATCTGCAGACACAGATAATGATGCGCAGCTATTGAGATGCTGCAGAACATGAGAAAAGGATTACACTGTGTGTGGCATTTCTTTAAAGAATGCAACTATATTAAACCCAAATTGAATGCACCAAAAATAAAATAAAAATTGAAAAGGTTTGATGTGTTTCAATAGCTAATACAGTGATTTTCTTTATTGACAATAAACAACATCCTGTGTCCTGTGCATTGGTAGTGACGTGTTTTGGCTTTAAACTTCAAAAAGAAAAAGCCATACCTTAATTAATTACTTGTGTTATGCCTATGTCTAATATTTTGGCATAGCTGTAGCAGTCATACTGGAGAGCACGGTATATACTCTATGTGGTTGTTTGAATCCTTGTATCATACTGGAGTGAGCTGAGTGGGTTGACTTATGACTGCAAAAAAAGATACACTCTCGCTTCTTTTTCTCTCCATCTTGCTCACACAGTCTCACACCTGCACAAACACAAACTTTCGACACACAAACACAGTTGTGCAAGGCATTTAAATTGTAAAAACAAAGGATACACGAATTAGCAACCAGGCAGCACAATTTCACACAGCTGCAGGCCGTGCACATAACCAAGATAATTTACAAACAAAGACACAAACACATAGCCCTGACTAGATAATTGCAACATTTTGCACATCATTTATTTGATCTGTAAATTCACACTTTCATTGTCATGGAAATACAGTATATACAGTAGTTCCTTTACTATAGTTTATATACTGTCATCTTAAATGCCTCTGCTGACCAAGAATACTAATACTACTTATTACTATACTATACTTTTGTCTGTAGAGTTCATGAAATGCCCTTTTCTTTTTACTGGGGACGGGTTTATTTACAATGTAGATGTGGATTATTATGGCTTGTTCTTGTTCCTGTTTCTATTGGTTTTTAGTTAAGAAGTCAATATTAAATGTCTTCTTACAGAATCTTCCCAAATCTTCTTTGAAAACCTTTAAATGATAATAAAATAAAAGTTCTTTGTCATTAAACAGAACCAAACATCACTAGTAGAAAACTCTTCAATTACTTCATTTTCATGTCAACAAGGTAATTCTGACAAAGTTTTCATTGTACAGCTATAACAGGTGGTGTATAAACTGACACTCAGCGTGGTATGATAAATTATATAGTAGCAGTAAGCATTACATTATTACATATTATCTGTTCAGCAATGCACTTGATTAAAGTAAAACCACACAGGATGAAGCAGAAACCCGTGGTGAATAATAAAAAGCTTAATAGAGTAATGCAAAGACGTAGTGCTTAACTATGATCAGTGAAATCATAATAATTATCTGTAAAGCTTCTGAGAACACACACACACACACACACACACACACACACACACACACACACACACACACACACACACACACACACACACCTCAAGACAGTTGATGTGCCTTCTTTAACTGTTGTGGGACTTTTCCCCATGCAGGCCACAGGACTCTCTACATTGGGGTCCACGTCCCCTTGGGCAGTACCAGGCACCGCAGCCATCGCAGGCACCGTCACCATGGAAACAAGCACAGGAGGAAGAGCAGGGACCGGGCCCTCACCTTGGTTGAGGGTAGAGAGTCTCCTGTTTATGGTATTGGCCACAATCATGAACTTGTATGCATTATAGCATAGACACATATTTTTTTCTACCTCATGTGATCTTAAGATACTTGATATGATCATTTCAGTTTTGACCACTCATGCAATTCCTTATGTTCCCAGACACTCCCTCGCAGAGAGTGCAGTTCCTGCTGGGCACTGAGGATGATGATGAGGAGCATATTCCCCATGACCTCTTCACAGAGATGGATGAGATCTGTGTGAGGGATGGAGAGGATTCTGAGTGGAGGGAAAGTGCCAGGTACTGTTAGACTGTCAAGTCACTGACATAGCATTTACACACAATCATGACCCACATGTCATTACTGAAAGCTGTGATTGAATGGACCTGTCATGCGGGTGATCCCACTTATACTGATGAGAGCTGTAGCTGTGTGTCTCATGTTTGTGTTTCCATTACGTTAAGTAATTGCATTTCACTGTTGTATAGAGGAATTCACTTCATGTTACTCTTTTTTTCTTTGATTCTTGTCAGCATTAATCAAGCTGTAAAATATATTCATTATGTGAATTATGGTCTTCCGTTGAAATGGAAAATCAGACATATTTTATTTACAGCGATACCCTGATGAGAAGCAATAAGGAAAGTGGGACCCTGAACAAATGAGTGTTGTTGTTACAGCTAGAACAGATTGACGGCCAGTTTGCCGTCTGCTGGTCTCTCCTTACTGGAACTCACACTACTGTTTCAGGTGGCTGAAGTTTGAAGAGGATGTTGAAGATGGAGGAGAGCGATGGAGTAAACCCTACGTAGCCACTCTTTCTCTACACAGTCTGTTTGAGCTGCGAAGCTGCATCATCAACAGCACTGTGCTGCTTGACATGAGAGCCAATACCATTGAAGAGATTGCAGGTAATTACAGCAACACGGAAGTTTCTCACTTAGATCCCTGACACATGAATGCAAGTAGCCTGTCTGTGTTTCCCTTAGACATGGTCTTGGACCACCAGGAGTTATACTCACCACTGGGGGATGAGCTCAGACAGAAAGTGCGGGAAACACTGTTGAAGCAGCACCATCACCAGAACCAGAAGAAGCTTGCTAACCGGCTACCAATTGTACGCTCTTTTGCTGACATTAGTCGTCGGACGTCGGAGCTCCACCTGGACAAGAATGGTGAGAAAACCAGAGAGTTGAGATTCTGTCCTCTGTTGCAGTAGTCCTCAACCTTGGGCTTTGGACCCTCTAAGGGGTTGCAAGATCATCAAAACATCTGAGGGGCCATGAGATAGGAGATAGGAAAACAGAAAAAAACATGTTTATCAAACTTTTTTCCTGTATGTTATTGAACAAGTTTACTTTTTCAAGTCTCTAAATAATTAATTAAATTACTCTCAGTTGGAGGAATCAGTCATCAGTTGAACTGGTCACCACCTGTTGATGTACCATATGCAAACTGTGAGGAAGGATCCTATATAGACATAACTTTGTTTTAAGGGGTCGCAAGTCCCAAATTTTGTACCCATTGCTTTATTGGATTTTGTATTGAATCTGGTCAGTAGTATTTAAGTGTGGATACTTTATAAATGTGCAATATGTGTATGTGTCTTATATGCATATGGGCTTAACTTGCGTATGTTCCATCCACCATCTGCCCACCCACCTGCCACAGCCCCACTGAAATCAACAGGTGCTGATTTACACAGCCTGCACTTGCCCCCACCAGCTCATACTTAAAAACATATTCTAGAGGGCAGTATTCTCATGGTTTGTGTTGATATTGGCAATTCAAAATAGGTTGTTTTTCTTAGGTTGAATTAAGGTTGATTAAAAAACAATGTTCAGAAGTACATTCTATAAATATACAAATTTGTTTGTTATTGATCTTCACAGTACAAGAGCTGTTTGGTTGCATTCTGGGATAAATTTAGACCAGGACTGACTCATAATTGGAAGCATTTCTTGCCCATATCATTGCCAACTACATTTTACAAGCTTCAGGTCTGCCAGAATTCCACATGACAAAATTAGGTGTGCAGAACACACCAAACTGTTTGTTAAATCCTTCTTTTATGCAGTATAATTTCCCTAGTGTGGCATTTTAAAGCTAATTTCAAAGCAATGATAAACTGATAAACTTCACTTCATGCTTTGTGAGCATATTAAACACTATAATTAGTGTTAATTTTTTTGCCCCTCTTGTTTAATGAATACAGAAATTAGGCCAGACCTTTTAGCTGGCTTGGCAGTAATGAGCCTGGATTTTTTGAGACAACAGCGGTGATGAAAATCTGTATGGTTTTATCCAGAGAAACACTGGTAGAAGCTGGCCTCCACGATCTGTGTGTGATCCTCTCTGTTGTTTTCCTTTGTAGAGGTATTTACAGAAATCATTTCTGCTTTGTCGGGACATTTTTAGTGTTGAGTTATAACTCTCTTATCTGGATCATCCAGGTCAGATGTCGTCCTCACAGTCTCAGTTAGCGGGTGCAGATGGCAAAGGAGACAGTAGAGAGAACAGTTCAGTTGACTTCAGCAAGGTATGGTACAAAGCTTGTACAGCTTGTTGTCCTGTTTAAATGTTTGTTTCACCTGTTTGTATGTTTCAAACAATGAACAGCAGGTCTTGATCTTTTTTAATGGACAGGTCATCTAGTCAGGGATTAGGATTATAACCATGTTAGATATTCTAAAAGTCATTCAGTACTGATGATAACAACATGACAACTACACACAGCAAAGACAAAGATAAAATCCTTGTTGAAACCTTTTGCATAATGTATATGAGTTTAACCTTTTGTCTGGGTCAATTTTTGAACAGTTTCATGTACTTTAGCCTGTTTAGTGAAACAGTTATAAAACGTGCACTGCCTATAAGGAATGTATTTTTTTAACAGTTGAAATGAATGTCAATCCATAGTAGTTTTTTGTATACATATAGACAGGTGACAAATTAAAGGAAAAACCGAATAAAATATCTTAGTTAGGTGTTGGGCCACTACGTGCCACCAGAACAGCATCAGTGCACCTTGGCATTGAGTCTACAAGTCTCTGGGACTCTTCTGGAGAGATAAACACCATTCCATTCTTCCAAAAGATCCAGCCTCATTTAGTGTTTTGATGATGGTGGCGGGGAGCGCTGTCTAACACGTCGTCCCAAAATCTCCCGCAGGCATTCAATCAGGTTGAGATCTGGTGACATGAAGGCCATGGCATGTGAATGCATGTGAATTTTCATACTCATCAAACCATTCACTGACACCACATGCCCAATGGAAGGGAGTATTTTTCTTACAATTTATACTGTACATTCCTGGGCCGGCCACAGATATTTTTTTTAATTGACACACATGGGAAAATAATCAGTTTTAACTATGAAAATTTCAAAATTAGCACTATTCCAGAGTTGATGTAAGTGATGACCCATCAAAGTATCAAAGCAATTATTTTGTATAGATCTAGTTCCCCCAGAGCTGTATGAACAAACAACACTCCAGTCAACACTTGTTATCTCCACATAATTATCTCTGAAAAATCAACACGTTCAATATACAGAGATTTCCTGTTCAGTGCAGTCCCGCTGCATTTAAGAGTGAAAAGCAGATATACTATAAGAGGATCAGTGTCTTAGTCAGGGTCAGCTTTTACACACTTACTGTATAGGCATCATATTTATAGGAAATGAAAGATACCTCATCTTCAAATCAAATATTATGCAGTAAGTTGAACTAATAGCTACATTTCAATAATCTTTTGTAATATTTAATTGTAACACTTATATGAATTGTTCTATGACACATAAAGCCTGGACAGCTGGACTATATTTAGATGACAATCCAGTGAAATCATTGCATTTATGGCTTAATGTGTGGATAAACAGTAAAAAATAATGGCATATTTATAGATTGCACTTTCAAACGAGAATGATTTGTTTTTACTTGTCAAAGCATGCTCTCGGTCAAAGCCGCTTAAACCATAAGCTAACTGGAAAGGGTGTTGGGGACTTTTATATGATACTCTAATCAGTGTATTGTGTGTCCTCTTTCAGATAGACCTTCATTTCATGAAGAAGATCCCGGCGGGAGCTGAAGCCTGTAATGTGTTAGTGGGAGAGCTAGAATGTCTGAACAAGCCGGTGGTGGCGTTTGTCCGCCTTTCACCAGCGGTTCTGCTCAATGGGCTGGCTGAAGTCCCCATCGCCACAAGGTTAATACAGGCTGATACTGTAACACCCACTCGACCTCCTCTGCTAATATCTCTTATTAACCCCGCTGACCCATTTATGACCTTTATAGTAAATATGCCGTTATGGTGGTTGAGATTCAATTTTGATTTGATAATGCTATTAAAAATAGGACAGTTCAAAGATCTGTTTCTGCCTTTAGGTTTCTGTTTATTCTCTTGGGGCCCTTGGGTAGAGCGCTTCAATATCATGAGATTGGAAGATCCATTGCAACACTTATGACAGATGAGGTAAGAATTCCTCACTGAACCCCTTATTTCCAATCCTATGGATTTTTTATTATTTTTATACACGAATGTTTTCAAAAGGAGGGTGGCTTGGTTTCAATGTCAACCAGATGTCGAACTCAGATTTTCTGCAGGCACTTTGCATAAATTCACAGTCCAGCAGAGCTCAACAAATTACTGAAGTGATGGAACATTTCTCAGCATGAAACACAGCTCAGAGCTTCTATGACATGCTTTTGGCCATTAGTCAGTCATCATATCCTCCTTTTCTGTCTGGGATTTAGGCTGCCATCCATCACTGAGGAAAAGATGGGCTTTATTATACACTCTTTGGAATGAGTAGATTTGAGGAATGAGATTTGACAATATTTCAGCAAGCAAGTGATTAATACTGCCTCACAGTGAGTAGGTCCCAGGTTTTAGTGTCCTAGTCTTGCTTATGTCTGTACAGAGTTTGTATAGTATGTTCAACACATGTTTATATGGACTTAAGTTAACTAGAGACACTGTGAATTTATGGTTGAAGTTGGCAGACATCGAACATCGAAGTATATATGCTTCAAATGTAATAGGACTTGTGAGGCTTGCATACAGTGCAATGCACATGCACATACAAAAGCCCAACCTACCTTTCTGTTTCCAGGTTTTCCATGATGTTGCCTATAAAGCTAAAGACCGGAATGATCTGATCGCTGGGGTCGATGAATTCCTCGATCAAGTGACAGTCCTGCCTCCAGGCGAGTGGGACCCATCCATACGGATAGAGCCACCAAAAAATGTACCATCACAGGTTAGTATGACTTCAGTTAGCTGGTTACCTTCTTTTCTTCTGGTTTAGATTTCTGTAACATGTCAACTTTAACAATCTGTACTTGAAAAAAGAACTAACTTGCTGTGCACTTTGTGAAACAGGAGAAGAGGAAGAAAAGTAACATTTTGCCTAACGGATTAGTAGAGGGTGAGGAGGAGGAGGAGCACGATGGCCATGGTGGTCCAGAACTGGAACGCACTGGAAGGTGGGGGAGTCACAAAGGGAAGGACAATGTGCAGTATTTGTGTTGAAATTCTGATCTGATCAGTAGAATAGCATAAAGTCTATAAACAGAAGTAAAGAAATATTATTTTAAGTAACCTCATACTAAACTGTGAATATGCAGTGCTGATGTAGTACACCATGCAACCTACTCACTACAGTCACTACTTTGCTGCAGAGAATTGATTTACATCTCAACTCAGCCTCCTGAGCTTTACACTGCAATACATTTATTTTGTTGTGATTTGTAATATATAAAGAAGAAGCAGTGCTACTAAATAGGATATAAGATTTTGTTGTTTGTTTGCTCCTTCAACTGAGTTATTTTTTAAAATATTGGCATTTTTTTCAGTGTAGTGTAGAGCTTTTACTTAGGTGTTCATAGAAATGATGTAACATGAAATATAGTCATTTGGCATCGGGATCTATATATTGCCAGGAAATGTGGTTAAGATTTAAGTAAATTAATGCGCTTCAAGGTTTATTTGACACTACTCTTTACTTACTGCAGGTTTTCTACATTGGACAAAACAAAAAACAAAAATCAAGCCCATAAAACTGAAAAATCCCAAAACCCTGCAGACTCTATGCTGTAATACTCATCGTCTATTTCTGGGTAAATATGGTCTGTAGTTGTAGTCATAAAGTGGTTTCCATAGAAACATCCTGCCTTGAGCTCTCTATTTGCAACTAGCCTGCTCTATTACAGGGAAAATCACACTAAACCATACTCACAGTTGAACACTGGGAAGGTGGCGGTAGAAGGAAGGGAAGTTAAGGAAGCCGAAAAAAAAAATCTTGCACACTTTTTCCAAAAAAAAAACGCTGAATACTGAATAATGACTTCTTTTGTTGCTGGAGAGAATTATTTATGCTTTTGAAAATGAAAATTTCACAAGTCAATTAGCAACACAAGTAGCAAATTTCTCTTTATATTCCCAGGTGGTTTGGTGGTCTCATTCTGGACATCAAGCGAAAGGCACCCCACTACCTGTCCGACTATACTGATGCGTTTAGTTTGCAGTGCGTGGCCTCCTTCCTGTTCCTCTACTGTGCCTGCATGTCCCCTGTCATCACCTTTGGAGGACTACTGGGCGAGGCAACAGAAGGACGCATAGTAAATCACCTGCTCTTTCCTCTAAATGTTCACAGCTTTCTGCCAAGACTAGTTGTACACTGCTGTGCACTGTGCTAGCCCTCCAGATCATAAACCAGGAAACAGCTGCAGTTCAGTATGATAAAGCCTTTGAAGGTAACTTTCATTCAGTAATCTTTCTGTCCTCTTTCCATTTTCCAGAGTGCAATTGAGTCGTTGTTTGGAGCCTCGCTGACTGGAATAGCCTATTCCCTATTTGCTGGGCAGCCCCTTACCATCCTGGGCAGCACAGGGCCAGTGCTTGTATTTGAAAAGATATTGTTCAAATTCTGCAAGTACGTTTTGATTTAATGTGACTGCACATATAAATCATTCACTAAATGACCAGTGAACTCGGATCATTGCATCATTTTGTGATTACATGTCCGATGCTTATCAGATTGCTGCTGGATAAATTCTGTGAACATCAATGTACCATCTCCCAAACATCTGGCCTTCTATAGATCATTTATTGCATCACATTTCATTGTGATAATGACTTTCTCCAATCTGCCACACTGCAAATAGTAAATAATCAATATATGATGTGATTGGATATGTTCCACAATGATTGTTTCCCTTTTTATCTCCACGTAGGGAATATGGCTTATCCTATCTGTCACTGAGAGCCTGTATTGGTCTGTGGACAGCTTTCCTCTGTATTGTGCTGGTGGCCACAGATGCCAGTTCCCTCGTTTGTTACATCACGCGGTTTACAGAGGAAGCCTTCGCCTCTCTCATCTGCATCATCTTTATCTACGAAGCCTTGGAGAAACTTATTCACTTGGGCGAACACTATCCCTTTAACAAGAACAACAACCTGGACAAACTCAGCATGTACTCGTATGTGCACAATTATTCTCAAAGGGGCTATACTGTTTTAAAATAGTAAAAAAAAGAAAAAGAAAAAAGAATGATTACTGAGTACATTTCTTGGAGGTACAGTAAATCCCTGACAGATAAGGGATTATTTAGTCACCCAGATGTTCATGTGCTTCCACAGATGTTCATGCGTTGAGCCTTCTGACCCCACCAATGGCACCCTGAAGTATTGGGAGATCAACAACGTCACTGCCTCAGAAATCTACTGGGAAGCGCTGGAGGTCAAGGTACTAGACACGCCTTCAGTATAAAAACAAAATGAAACAAACAGACAAACAAACAAAAAAAAACAATAGGACAATAGGAATCTGTCATTCATCCATGGAGTTTTAAATGCACACAACAGCAGGGATTATTAAATTACACAAAGACAGACTGAAAAGAATACATTTAGGTTTTTCCACCTTAAAGTGGCATGCTCTCCCAGATAGAGCTCAACAGAGCAGATTAAGGGCATGTGGGCTGGATTATATTGGATTACTCATTGCAAATCACTCTAAAAGCACATTTTTTTTGGTACTTCGTTAAGTTTGTTTTTTTTGCAGCCATGGATGCTCATAAACCCCTGTTTGTGGAAGCCTGGAATCTGCTGAAGCTGGTGTATTGCTAATCATATGATTACCCTGAATAACTGCCCTCTACCTGTTGTTGCAGGACTGTATTGAAAAGCGAGGCGAGTTTGTGGGCAGCGCCTGTGGCCCGGATGGACCCTATGTTCCTGATGTCCTCTTCTGGTGTGTCATTCTCTTTTTTTCTACTGTCTTCATGTCCGCCTTCCTCAAGGAGTTCAAGTTCAGCAATTACTTTCCCACAAAGGTATAGTGCATCCTTCATGATCTTCACATTATTGTACTTAAATGTTCTAAGCATGTCGACAAGGCTTAATTTTCTGCCAAACAGGGCTTTGGTCATGCAGTATGGTGCAGTGGTACACTCTAGTGGTGTGATGTGGGTACTGCGTGATAGAAGGAAAATTGACAATGAAGAGTCCAGTTTGCTGCAACCTTTTTGTTTGATTTTACATTAGGTAAAATAAAGGAAACTGTATTAATGAAGAGCATTTTGAATCATTTTTCATCAGGTGAGGTCCATCATCAGTGACTTTGCTGTTTTCTTCGCAATCCTTACAATGGTCTTAATCGACTATGCCTTAGGGATTCCCTCTCCAAAGCTAAAGGTTCCCAGTGTGTTTAAGGTAAGAAATTGTTTGTCAGATTTTATTTTACAAATTGCAAATCATTTTTCAACAATCTACTACTTATGTCAAACCAACTAAAATCATTTTTTTATAAGCCAACCAGAGATGATCGAGGTTGGTACATCAACCCGCTGGGGCCCAACCCCTGGTGGACGGCAGTCATAACAGTGCTCCCAGCTCTGCTTTGTACCATCCTCATCTTCATGGACCAGCAAATCACAGCCGTCATCATCAACAGGAAGGAGCACAAACTCAAGGTACATTCCTGTCCCAGCTTTGAACTCTGGCAGTAGGCTGCATTAGTAAGATGGCTGGTGTAGTGTCTTGCCGAAAGTACATCAGAATTACTCATTTTCAACTTCATGCGCTGGTTCTTTCTCCCTCTCAGAAAGGCTGTGGGTACCACCTGGATCTGTTCATGGTGGGGGTGATGCTTGGTGTGTGCTCTTTGATGGGGTTGCCGTGGTTTGTAGCAGCCACCGTCCTCTCCATCACTCACGTCAACAGCCTGAAGCTTGAGTCAGAGTGCTCAGCTCCTGGTGAGCAGCCCAAGTTCCTTGGCATCAGAGAGCAACGCTTTACTGGCCTCATGATCTTCACCCTCATGGGCAGTTCTGTCTTCATGACATCTGTGCTGAAGGTCAGTCACATTTTGTTTTTATTATTTGACTGTTTCGATGTGTGTGTAGTTATTCTCCCTGTATTATCTGTTCTTTTTCTTGAAGGCATTTTGATATTCCTTGGTGTATTATGATCTGTTGGCTAATATAATGCTTTTATTGTTCTTCAGTTCATTCCTATGCCTGTGTTATATGGAGTATTCCTTTACATGGGAGCGTCTTCTCTCAGAGGCATTCAGGTAAAATGATGGGAGCTTTATTGTATTTAATGCAGCCTTTTTTGACACGTTATATGGTATCACTACATGAGGGAACATAAGGATGTACCACTTGCATCATTTGATGTTTGACATGAATGCCTTTGCAATTTTCAATGGTTTTAATACTACATCTGACTAAGTGATAATAAAATGAGAATTTTTTTATCATGTAAATTTTGTTAGTTTCTCTGCTTTAATGCTCACAATTGACATGAAAACAATGATCTGCGCTCCAATAAATGTGATTAAGAAACACCTGTACTGAATTTGAGTTGTTCATAACACTTTTTATCTGTGTGACTGAGATTAGAAACAGAACTGGTCAGTTTTGTTAATTTGTAGACCCTTTCACCAGATAATCTGTATAGGCTGTTAACTCTCCCCAAGCCACAATAGGGGATCGCCTCCATATTGTCTGGCTGCCTAGAAAAAAGTGTTAATTGGCCACTAGTGTGTTCCCAGCATTTACAGAACACCTGACTGTGATTTAATTGCCTGCCCTGTTTAGCCTACTTCTTCTTTTCTTCAATTTGGAATACTTTCTATTATTGGTTTTGAAAATTATATTTAAATTAAGACAAAAATATTCTTATCAGGGGATCCAGCCCATTGTAGTTACACTATAAGCAAACATAGCATTTACTTTTTACTTTTAGCGTGTTAGGTGTTGGACTTTCTCCACCAGCTAGTCAATAACTTTGTCTGTTTGGTGTCATGTTGGGGAGGCAGTGTATCGTAGGTTTACAAGAGCTTTTTTGTTTAAAACAGCTGATAAGAGCAGACTCAGCCGTGTTTTACTGATGTTTGTTGCTCTTAAGACTTTTATTTCACATGTATATACGTAAGTTGTTGTAACCCAAATACAAAACATCGTTGAAAGATCATTTAAGAATTGTTAATCATTTGTCCTCTCCAGTTCTTTGACCGCCTGACACTGTTTGGTATGCCGGCCAAGCACCAGCCAGACTTCATCTATCTACGACATGTGCCCCTGAGGAAGGTGCACCTGTTCACCATCATCCAGCTCACCTGTTTGGTTATGCTCTGGGTCATCAAGACCTCCAAGGCTGCCATTGTCTTTCCTATGATGGTGTGTAAACTGTTCCAATTATACCATCTGCAGGCCCATCACACAATACGCACACCTTTCACTACACACCTAACTAGTGTTAACAGGGCTCAGTGTGTGAGTACAGGTATGTCAGTGGGGTCAGCTCAGCACTAGTGTAGGAGTTAAAATTGTAGACACATTATTAAATGACTTAAAATTTTGGTAAGGATCTTTTCTCCTTGATACATTATAAAGACAACTTTGCAGGTTTTTGTTAATCATTGCACCTGCCACAAATAATTTGGCCTCTTAGTCTTACATTGCTTTGAAATGTGCAGGTTGTCAGAGATATTTTCCCCAAAAAACAGAACACCGTATATATAATGTTTCGTGTGGTCAAAAATATATGAAGCGTTTCTTGCACTGATCTTATGAGGAAGTTGTTGAAAGTCACATACACCTTACACCTTCTAACTATACACATCCATGACCTAGCTCAAATTGAGAAAATTTAAACTGATTTGGCTGTCTCTCTTTCTGCATATACCCCATTTTTCAGCATTACCTATTGTTGCTGCCACCATTTCCTGTTTCCCATTTAATTAAATTTAACTCCATCTTATGTCTTGAGCGTAGCACGCTCCTTCATTAACGCATGTGATTTTTGCGCACTCAGCTGTTTTGATTCTGTGTGACCTGCAGGTGTTAGCTCTGGTGTTTATCAGGAAGCTAATGGACTGTATCTTCAGTAAGAGAGAGCTGAGCTGGCTGGATGACCTCATGCCAGAGAGCAAGAAGAAGAAGCTTGAGGATGCTGAAGAGGTGCTGTTGTCTATCATAAACTATATACTGGTGTTAATTTCATTTTATTGATGTTCACATGCATTTAAAGTGTGTTTCATTCAATCTTCAGGAGGAGGAGCAGAGTATACTGGCAGAAGATGAGGGAGTAGTGCAAGTGCCATTAGAAGGGTACAAGTAAGTTATATTACACAGGTGAAGTTTCAAACCAGTCAGCTGGTTTCACCAAATTCCATTTATGAACAGCACATTTTTTAAACCTGTAAATCATTACCTGGCTTCTCTTTTCACAGAGGAATACCCATTATTAACATCACAGATGAAATGTCAAAGGGTTCTTTTGGAAATAGTTGGAATGCCAACGGCTAAGACTTTTGAGAAAGAATCAAGACTTCAGAACATAATGGTAAGACATTTTGCACTGTTGAATATACAGAAAACTCATTCATTATAACCCCTCGTCGGTTATTACAAATTAGGCTACTCAAGCAACATCCAAAAAAAAAAAAAAAAAAGAATCCCAAAAACCTATGTGTGGGCACTAATAAGCTGAGTTAAACATTTCAATAAGGAAATAGTGCTAGTATTTATCCACAAGGTTGGCTGCCATTTGCTCATTAAATCTTTGGCTTCCTGTCCTGGTGGCATATGCTTCATGTTTATCTGTGACTGTTTTAATTTACAGAAATCTTTCTAGGAAGCAGTGTGAGAGTCCCAATAAAAGTCCAGCTATATTTTTTTAAAACCATAAAAGTAAAAAAAAAAAAGTCACTATGTACATGTTTCAAAAATGTTCTCCATCCATGTCTGTTTAATGCAGTGAAGTGAAGAGGTCCAACGTGCTGCTGGTTACCTGCTGTTTTAGGTTAAGTCCACCCCTCTTGATATGAACACAGCCCATTCACTATTAATTGATGCAAGTTTTTGGAAATTAGATTCAAAAGGAATTTAAAGGGATAGTTCAAATTGTTGAAAATATGCTTATTTGCTTTCTTGCCGAAAATAAAATGAGACAGTCAATACCACTCTCATGAATGTACAATATATGATGCTGTCGCCAGCAGCTAGTTAGCTTAGCTTAGCTTAGCTTAGCACAAAGAGCGGAAAAACACAGGGAAACTGCTAGCCTGGCTCTGTCCAAGGGTAACTGAGTCTGCCAACCAGCGCTTTTTTGTTTAACGGTTACAAAAAACCATGAGTAAAAATGATCTGCTGTGTTATGTGCTGGACTATTTCTTGGCCAGGTGCAGTATCATTTTTACATTTTGGTCTTTGTACTAGTTACTTTGTAGATTTAGAGTTGTTATTTACAATATGATCTAATAATTCAATACAATATAAACAGTAGGATGACACTCTGGAAGGGGCTGTACTGTATGATGAGTTATTTTACTTTTGTGACTGTAAGTGCATTTGAATGTTAATACTTTTACTCAGCTAAATTTTTTTAACTTTTACTTGTAATACAGTATCTTTACTCACAGTTATATACACAGTGTTGACATAGCCTACTGTATATCACCCGATTATACATTCATCTTTTCTTTCTTAAAGCTAACAGTATACCACAACAGTCACAGTTCCCCACAAAATGAAAGTGCAAGATGAGAAATGTAAGATGAAGAAGATGAAGGACAGTGTTGTGAGTCTTTGTCACTGTCCCTTCTGTGTGTTCGTAGACAAATCTGCATCATTTGCCGCAATTTATGAATCCTTCCAGTTTAGTTTTGTAAATGTATGTGTGTAAGTGAATAACCGTGTTATCTGATGTGTCACAAATTATTATTCTGCCTACCAGTGAAACCTACTTTATAATTTTCTCATGTTGTTAAGGTCAAATTGTACTTTCTAAATCTAGATACTTTATTGCTACACTCAATGTAAACTACAAAAATGGAAAAGGTTGGTCTGTTTTCAAGTTTGTATTTATTTTAGTATATACTTTGTATTTTGAGATACCATCATATTAACATATCCTTGGATTCTTTATCTATTTATATACTGATTCCCTATAATTCTCTAATCTTCAAGTTCTCTTTAGACATTGAATATAATGTGAAATTAAATATGAAGATCTAATAAATATTTTATAAGTCTAAGGTCATTCTTGACAATAACCATGTAAAAACTTTCTGAAAAGCCATATGTAAATGTATAAAATTCTATAACATGCAAAAGTCTGCAAAACACATATTTCTGATGTGTGTTTATGGGACCAATTTTATTCCCACCTAATGATTGTGACTAGCAAGCCTAAATGCTTTAAAATACATTTACTAAAGGACAATATACATCTGTTCAGAACCAAATACAGAAGCACTTTTCTTTTGCTATAATATCAATACTCAAATATTTGTATGAGAAATGATTTATCTATATTTATTTTGTGGAATAAAATAAACATGTTTGCTACAGAATACCTTGTAGCCTAACACAGACTTACAGTATTTTGCTTCCTTATGTCAGTGTATTGCTTATATTGTAAATGTACATTTAAATAATCTCATAATGTGTTTCAAAGATGGTATGAAGTTTAGTTTGTCATAAATTAAAAAGCTTTGTGACAAAGGAATTTAAGCCTAAAACATTCAAATCCTAATCTGAGAACTACGGTGAGGTTGTAATATTGGAAAAAACTTAACAAGCACAATTTTATTATGTATATTTTGTCAGTGGTATTAATAAATTTCTGAGAGCACTCGTTTGTCTTGTTATTGTCACATACATTCAATCCTAACTGTGCACTGCAACAATGGAAAGATGGGTAAATTTTACAGTACTAGTACAAAACACAAATGTAATGTGTGACTAATGCATGGCTCATGATTTAATACGTGAATTCATGCAGGATATATCATGAATTTATGCTTTCTTGTTACTTGCAATTGGTTACTATGCTTATAGTGAATCTGCAAGTAATAATTTGCTAATTAGTATCATGACACATCTTTACTTGAGGGGACAGAAGTCAACCAGGTAACTGGTGAGTAATGGTGATTTTGTGTGAAGTAATAATAAAACGAGGAACACTTCATGCACCTTGTTCACACTGGGTCAAGTCAAATTTATTTATAAGGCCCAATATTGCAAAAAAAAATCGCACAAAAATTCAAACAAAGATGCGTCATGCGTGCTTATCAATTCTTGATCAGTAAACACAGTCTTCTACAGTATCCTAGCTACTTAAACAATATTGTTTAGGCCCAAACCACATCAGATCAGCTGTCAAATGATTAAGTGGGTGCACATGTGTGGTAATTATTGACATAGTACCCGCTGAGCAGGAATGCCCATTTCTAACCTTCAGAGATTTGGCCCAGACAGGAGTGGGCAGGGCTTTTGTAATCAACAGATGGTTTGATGCGCCACGGATGACAGTTTCGAGATGTGGCACATCCCTCAGCATGTCAAACTGCTGGCTCGTGAATTATTGTTTTGTTTCAGTGCCAGGAGCAACTCAAGAGTGTCGACCCAGTCAGTGTTCCCATTGAGTCCGACTTGATTGACATAATTTCCTTTTCTTTCATTTAGCATAACCCTCCTTGGCGTGCTGTCAGAGCATCGCTGGGAAATCCTTCTCCAGTGAACAGCTGACAGGTGACACACATCATCTTGTTACCAGGTAGTAATCCCAGAGCACATTTTTCCCTGGAGAGCAGCGTGTTTATTGATTTTTGTTCTGCCCCCATAAACAGGAGGATTAAGACAAACCAATGGTGCACACCGTCAAATCTTGTTTTTTAACATTGGTATTCAAAAATAATATTTGATGAAGATGCTCAGCAGCTTTTATATTCTCATTAACCAACTGTGTATGAAAAAAATATTCTCTCTGAAACTGCTATTGATTAAAATGACACTTTTATTCAATTACTGACGGACATTAACAGGTGGATCCTGTGCCTAAAACATTATCATTAAACTTGAAATTCAGACCAATAACGTTATTGTATCTTATTATTCCAAGTTTATGTGAGAAGAAAGATGAAAATGCCAAAAAAAAAGAGAAACAATCATAATGTGAACGCTAGATCAAAAAATAAAAAATCACACAGCATTTATGATAGAGACACATTTAAAACATACAGTAACTTTTTGCATTTTGACAACATTACCTTCAACCACTGAAGGCCGACTGAGCTCCTTATTGAATTTAATAGCATGACCAAGGAAAAGGCAAGTACAGATTGTGACACATATAATGGCACAGAGTCGGTGGGAACTGTTGCATTATTCAGGGAGCTGGTGGGGCTCTGTGGTCGAGTCTACTCTCTCCTGCCTCGGCCAGTCTTCAGCCAGGACACAAACTCCTTGGCTGCCTGGTCCTGCAGGTAGGAGCTCACGTCACTGGTGTAGGTGCCATCTGCATGGCGTCTATATAGACTCCTGTACAAACAGATGCATATAGATGATGCAGTCACAATAACGGTATATGTAACTAAAATTGTTTCACTTGAATTCACATCAGTGGTTCAGATGCAAAAACCAATACTGTATATTTGAAATAGTTCAAAGTATGAAACCAAATTGAGGAGATTGAGTAAGAAAAGGAGACACTCACTCGTTTCTTTTTGAGTTCTTTAGCCACTGGACAAAGTCTTGAGCTCTTCTTGTCTCCAGGTATTTACTGTAGTCGTTGGAAAATGTTCCCTCTGAATGTCTCTTCATGTATGGGAGCTCAATGGGTTCGGTCAACATGGAGTTTTCAGTAAGTAACCTAGGAAAGCCATGGAAAAGAAATGAATGATCCGAGCAGGAGACACTCTCACATCAAACAGTCCCCCTTCCTGTTTGCCTACCTGCCCTGCATACCTGCCTGTTTGTTCTCAGTGTTCATGCCCTACCTAGCCTCCCTGCCCCCTTTTCTCTCTTGTACGGTCACAGCTCTTCATCCTGCTCCATCATTCTAATCCGCCAATCACTACTCGTGCATTTCATAATCAATCGTCACAACTGTAATAGTGTAGTAATTTGGATCTCACTGATGCTCTGGTCCTTGCTTGTGAAATTGCATTTTCAAAAGATTCAGTGAACAATCAGCAATGCTTTTGGAAAAGGGTTGTCATGCATCAGAAGGTGCTACACTTACAAGCAACAGGTGAAACCACATTATAACTAGCAACATTAAAATATTAAAATGACAATTTGTGAAAGAAAGAAGTCTTTAAAATGCATCAAACGTATTTGTTGAAAAAAGGAATATATATATATATAAAAAATAAACTTTCCCTAACTGATGCAACATGTGGAAGAGTCAGTGGCAATGTAGCATGCCTGAATAGTTTTGACGATAGCTCTACTGAATTGCTATTACACCATGCTGCAACCCTCAGAAACATGCTTTGAACCACTGGGACATATGAACAATATTAACATCTGGTTGATTGCTTCCAAAGATCTAAATCTTTGATAAAACACAGCTGAGGATGGTGCCATCAATGATCCATGTGAGAACGAAATCAAGCTGAAAGTAGATCTTACATGGAGTTTCGATCTGTGTCCTGGTCTGGCACCTGCCAGCTGCTTTGGATGATGATGAGAAGCAGGAGTCCAGCTAAAGAGTAGGCGCTTTTCATTGTTTGAGCTTCTGAAAGATGTGCAAGGAGAGAGAGAGAGAGAGAGAGAGAGAGAAAAACAGAATATTTCACTAAAGCACATTAGAATAATAAAGTTTATATTGACAAGATATTCTGGATTTTTAGAAAGAACTAAGGTACAAAAAATCCTCACCTGTGCTCCTTCCTGTTGAGCGTCTGAGAGAGGGATTGTAAAGTGCGCTGACTGGTGCCCTTCTTCTCTCTCGGCTTCTGGAGCTGTTTCTTGGTCCCCTCTTGATCTGCTCCGTCTTATATAGTGGAGCTGAGCAGCACTCTCCCAGGTGACTCCCCCGTCACAGAAACCTCAGCATGTCCTCTGTTACTCTCAACCCATTAGTCAGCTTCCGTCTCAGTCCACTGAATGTATTTGACTTGGAAAAAAAAAAAAACATTTCCACACAAGTTCCAACATCTGAATGATGAAAGCTGCTACTTCAGGTGTCATAATCAAACATGACCTCTACTCTGACAAATAAATACTGGAATCTATACGTGTTTAAATTAAAACAAAAGCTGTTGTTCATTTTAGTTATTTCTTTTTCTATTAAAGAAAATATTATAGACATATATATTTTAACCTAATATTCTTTCTTTATAATTTTCATGTTAAAATAATGAAATAATAAATAATGAATATTTCAAAATTATGTTTATTTTACCTTCATTACAACATGACTGCAACATAAATGACACCATTCTACAACAAATCAGTGCAGTGCAATTTTGATATTGTATGTTATCATATTCACAAAATGACTATAAATGCATGCAATGGATTTAGTATGTTTTAAACATCACATATTCTGACGAAAGTTCCACAAAAAATACAAACGCTCATTTGTACAAATAATCGAATATCCATTGCACATAAAAACGTCCACAAAACGTTCAATTGGACACTTCAGAAAATCAATAACATAAAAAAAATACACAAATTAGAAAACAAAATAACATTGTGATGATCTTCACTATAAATGCTGTCACATTCTTCACATCTATTTGGGATGAAGGAGGCATTTCTGCAGGAAGAGACTCATGTGGTTGTATGTATGACGCAGGGCTGATCCACTGAGACCATGGTCCTTGTCAGTGTACCACTGAAATAAACACAAAATCATATTGGTGCATAGAGCAAAATTCAGATTCACATGTAAAGCATATGTATCGCATGCACATTTTGAAAAATGTATATTTTAGATAATAACACTTTTTTTTCTATTTGAAACCTTCTTTAAATCAACACCATCATTGCCAATCTTCCCACTTCCCTGAGCCAATATTTACCATTGTCTCAAAGTCCACTTGCTCGTCCACCAGAGCTTTGGAGATCTGTGCTGCCTGCTGGAAATGGACATTGTCTATAGGAAAGACAGTGCTGTCACTACGTGACTGAACATCGAAGCTCAAGTTTCCATCAAGGCAATCAGAGTCTGTTTGTTCAAGGCTTTAGTGTGTTACTTGGTACACTGATCAGAAATAGAGCTATCACATGTCAAGGTGAAGAGTATTTGAATGAAACGAATGAACATACCATCTGCTGTGCCATGAACCAATAGATAGTCTACAGTATTGAAGTTCTTCGCTCTGGCCGTCACTGTGGAATTCTGTTGAACAAAAGAAACATGTTACAGTTAACCACATGTGCCTCTAGTCAGAAATGTGCTGCAGTTTGAAAAGCTGATTATCACAGTTTGATATTTACTGTGTAAGCGTCTGCATTCTCTGTGGGCTTCCCCATGTAGCGTTCAGTGTAGACTGCATCTGCAAAAGAAAAACAATACCACAACTGTACAGTGCACACTATGCAAACATAAACTATATCACACTGACTTCACACATCAAAGCCTGTTTACAGGTCTTGGGAAGTAGCGTTAAAGCTGCTACCCTCAAGCAGAGAAGTTCCCAGAAGATGAAATTTCTGACTGAACTGTCAGCAGTCGAATTGCATTATGGGTAGTGTGTTTGCCAAAACTGTCCACGGGTAGTCTGACAACGCCATAAGGTCGCTGCGTTTTTTCAATGCGTACACGTAGACGACAGCTGCAATAACAAGTGTCTGTTCACATTCTTGTTTGCCTACTAGTGTGGCCCAATCATCCCCAGATGAAAAAAGAGCAGCTTCCATTTGAATTTCCACTTTGGCACAAAGTAAACAAAAACCATGAAGACACTAGAGGGGGTTACAATATTGGTGATGTTGAGATCACGGCAGAGGAACGGCAGCGGTGACACTTTAGTTGGTATGTCATGGGGACAAGTTGCTTTTCGATAGTCCCCCCCCCCCCCGGTCATGTGGTGAATTGCACCTCTTGGACGCATGGCATTTATTTCTGAGGACCTCCTGAACCCATGCTCCCAACGAGTACAGGACATGTGACGTAGCCATGATGCACATCAGAACACGCAGTTAAAAGGAAGTGTATCAGTCTAATCTTTTAATTCCAGTGCAGAAATGACGTCAAAGAAGGAGTACTGTGCTCGCAGAATAAACTGTAGCAATATATACTACAGTATGCACGCATGTACACCCACCATAATATTCCCACTTTGCAACTGGGGCAATTGCTACTCCACACTTGAAGAGCCCAGTTCCAGCACCCAAGGCCATTGAGGTCACGTAACCACCATATGACTGAAGATCAGAAGGGATGAAATTAATTAGTGCAACAACATTAAATACAAAGATAAGTATGTGAGAAATACAGAGAGCAACAAGACATAGCACAACTTACCCAGCCCCATATTGCTATTCTGTCCTTGTCGATAAAACCCATGTCAATGAATTTCCTATAACACAGAAATCATTTATTATCCAGCAAAAGCAATAGAGACATATTTGGAGATCAACTAAACCACAGTTTTACCTTCCCAGTAATCATGTTTTTATGAATGGTGCAATGCGTGTGATGTCACAGAGGTGACTGGATGTTTACCTCACAGCTGTTATCTGATCTTCCACTTCAAACGTCCCAAGACGCCGGTAGATTGCGTGCAAGATTTCATCACCTTGGTAGCCGCTCCCCCTTCCATCAAAGCTGGCGAAGATGATCCCATGTGAACTGGAGAGGTACGTGCCCCAGTTCAGCTTGAATCGATAGTCCACTCTCTGACTGCAGGGGCCACCGTACCTGCACAGGACAGCGGCAGCATGTATCGTCTCATTAACAGATGTTCACCTAGGTTATAATGGGATGTTGTGCCGAGCAGGGTCGTTCACTCACACATCGATGAGAAGAGGATATTTTTTAGATTTCTTAAAATTTGGTGGCAACATCATTTGGTACCAAAGATCTGTGGCGAGAAAAACATAGGTTAGGAAATGTCAAATATGAAGGTGTAATTAGAAAATGAAATAACATGTATCCATCTAAATTTAGTCTCTTATAAACATCAGTGTTTCTGCTCTGAGAAAATCTTTACTCCAGTGCTAATCCACCAATTATATTACATGATTTAAGTCTTTAAAAGGGAGGATGTCACTTTTTAAATCATTAACAGTAAAACCCTCATTTGGAACTTCCTATATGATCAACTGTAGTCCCCCTACACTACACGACCCCCACCCCGACAAACGAGTGTGTTACTTTACTTGGATGTTTGACATTCACCCTGCACAGTGATGTATGTGCAGAGTTGGACACTAGGAGGCTGAAATGTGCTTTAAGGAATTTTTAACTAGTTTCTTAATTTTTTTTTGTGGAAAAACCATTAAAAATCAAATTATCATTCAAAGCAGAATATTTTATGTCTTCGAACATTTCTGGAGGGGGCGTTCAAACATGTACTGTCTCACCAAATCCTGCAATCTTCAGTGTGCCGTGCTGCATCTTTGGCATTTGGATTTCTGACAGAATATCTTCCAGCTCCTTGTTGTCTTCAAGGACGGAGAGCTCTAAAAAAAAAAAAAAAAAATAAGAGAAAAACAAATATAATTTTATATAATATATCAAATATAAAAGCAAACAGAAAATCATTTCAAGTATTACATCAAAAACATATACAAAATACATTGTAGAGCTTGGTGTAATCATCACCAGTGACGCCATGCAATGAGCCCTTCCCTTTCTTGTGGTCCTCTTCTTTTTTTTTTTCTCAGCCTACTTTGTTTGTTTCTCAAGCTGGAACCGTATTCAAACCAATGTGTACTGCGGTTACAAAAGTCAGTAAATGCATGAAAATGACAGGTCTACAAACAAAATGACAGTCCATCAAATCCACCACAAACATCTAGTGTGGTTTGCAGAAGTGCATTTTCAAAGATTTATTACACTTTATGATCATTTTAAGGTGTGAAAATAACAACAAGAAACTTGGGCAGGTTTGCATTAGTCATAAGAAACAAAATCTGTGTAACTGTTTTTGATTACTGGAACCAAACCTGGTCTAGTGTAGCCTACAATCAGTTATGTGCAACCAAAGACAGTTAGTACATGTATATACATATATATATATAAATAGTAATCTGTCTATCTGTGAACATCTGACCAGCACAGAAAATGGGATAAGTAATTCAACAGTGGGCTTGGGGTCAAAGCATGAAACTTGGTAAATCTTGCCAGCATACATACGTGCACCTGAGCCCCTGTTGTCCATGAGTGTGTAGAGGGGCAATCCAGGTCCTGGAGAAAAGAAAAGAAAAAAAACAGGAAATGTACAAATAGTTGATGACACATCTGTTCTTCTGTACGACTTTAGCGATGCCTAATTTAGCTCAGATTATGGTTCACACATGCTCCACACCACAAATTATTTTCCACACATTGACCGTGGATGAATCATTGCTTTAGAGGAGTAGGGGGGGGGGGGGGGTGGGGGTGGGGGGGGGGGGGGGGGGGCGGGCGGGGAGGGGGGGGGGGGGGCGGGGGGGGGGGGGGGGGGGGGGGGGGGGGGGGGGGGGGGGGGGGGGGGGTAACTTACCGAAGCAGTCCATTCGGAAGTAAGAGGCGTCAAAGCTTAAGTAAGCCGAGTTGTACTGACACCTGTCCTTATACACATCGCAGGTGAGGCACTGAGGGGTAGACGGGCTGCTTCCAATCATAACCCTGATCAACAACACAAGTGTAGCAACTCGTGTCAGTTATGAAATTCAGTTTGTGCTAATGCTGCAATATGTAGTATCTTCTCTCTTGTTCATTGATCCCAGTTAGCTTTGGCTAATGTGTCTGCTAGTCTTCTTGGGATCCTTGAGTAAATGCACATGTTGACATTAACTGGTACAAAAGGAAAACTAATATGAAGAACGCAAAATGCTGCAAAAATAAAATGAAAATAATAATATAAAAAAAGAATTAGATTAGCCATTACACAGATAAAAACAATTTGCTTACTTGTAAAAATTTCTCTTTCCAGGTATTCCTTGGTACTCATTACTCACAAAATATCTGTGGAAAAGAGATTTACATATTTACTTTCTAATATTCTTTTAAACTTAATGTAGTTTTCCAAGAAATGTACAGTATGATTACTCACATGGCATCTTTTGTTAATTTGGATATGTAGATGACTTCCCACTTCCCAGAGGTAATAGGTTGTGCTTTGCCCTTAACAAAACACTCTTGATATGAATATAACACTCAAGACTAAAGGCATATGAAAGCAACTGGACAGTATATTTTCGTGTGATTATAATTGAAAATACTTACATCTTTCACATAATGGATATGTTTGTAGCCCTGAGTGTCACTCATCACATTGTAGAAACTGAGGTTATCTTCAGCAAAGAAAAGAGGTAAGGGCACGTACTGAAAAACAAGGAAATATCTTATAGTCATACATCAAATCAAATGCTGAGGATCAATTAATGGCATCAGTGGTGGTAACTTTTTTTTGGAAACTTACATGGCCGACCCAACCTGTCCTGCTTGTTTGCTCAAATTTCTATAGAGAGTAGACACATGAAGACATTGTCCGGTTCGTCAGCATTTACTGCCATGAACATTAAAGTCAATTAATTGATCATGATCCTTGAAATCATCTAATTGGACACCATTTAAGACTGACCCTGAGCAGACAGGTGATTAGAGAGGGGACAGATACCTGTACTTCTTTCCAGCTGCTCCCATCAAAGTCATAGATCTGCACAACCACGTAATTCTGCTTCCTTGTGAGCCACTGCACAGCGACGCGTTCGTCTGTAACCCAGGTCACTGAGCACAAAATGTGATCACTGAGTAAAGGCAACAGAAAGTGACAAGGTTTTCACACAAGGCAGACCATGAAGATATTGTATTTGCCTCTGCTTTAAATGTTTTAGGATTTAAGTGATGCTATGAACCGAAGAATCTACAGACCCGGACGCGATGGATGCAGGAGGGAGCACCTGTGTGCGGCGGGATGGATTTGTTGTATCAACCACAAACAGTTTCACCTTGGTAAGTGTCGATCCAGCCTTCAGCAAACACAATGATATGACACATTCTTGATGAATAAGCATATGTCATGAGAGTGTGAGGATGATTCATTACGGAGAGGGCAATGTGAACAGAGAACTGCCTCTAGAGTTTCTGCTATATAAGTAGATACTGACTTTTAGTGTAAACTACAACATCTGATCTCTTAATTGGTATCTTCCCTGTTAATAACTACTTCCACTAACATGCTTGAGAAAGACATATACAAATCCCACCTTTGGGTATGGAACAGCCACTGTTTGAGGATATTGCTCAGATCCATACCAAGAGAACTCCACTTTGTGAACTTCTGTATCATTCAACTCCAGATAGGCCAAGAATCTTCCAGTTGTCGACCACCATATTGCCCCGTTAGATGCAAACACTTCCTCTGAAATAGTTGGAGGAAAAAAAAACAAACAAAAAAACACTCAGTAACTATCTTACACAGAGATGTTATATGGTAGTGAAGCGTGGGGTCCACTTACCAGCCAAGACCTCCCAAAAGGAGAAAAACACCCGCTAAAAGCCCTGCATGCAGAACTGTGCAAAAACATACTTCGAGTTCACAGACACACAGCCAATAATGCATGCAGGGCAGAACTAGGTCAACACCCTTTAATAATCAAAATTCAGAAGCGAGCCATCAAATTTTATATACACCTCCAATCTAGCGACCCCCACTCCTACCAGTACAAAGCCCTTCAGTGCCACTAGTTGAACAAAGATCAGAGTCCCTTATGCCACCTGCTGCTGAAGCTCTGCCCACACACACCAAAAACAATCTGGCCCAACCAAATCATCTCACAACAAAAGTTGCACAAATATTGGAATGAAACCACCAAATCACAAAGTTAGAATTTTATTTGACTCTAAACAGAGAGTACATGGTGGCAGAGTACCTGACCACCGTGACTAATAGAAAACTAAGGAAAAGGCTGACAATGTGCAGACTGAGTGGAAAAAGCCTGGGAGGCCAGGCTGTGCTCAATTTGTCATAAAAGAGAAGTTGAGACAGAATCTCACTTCCCATTATATTGTGACAGATATAAGGATTTGAGAGAAGTTTTCAAACAAACAAAAAACATATGTTTATATCCTGAGTTTATCCACCTTTTAGAACTTCAGAAACTGTCCTATCTACTGTATGTAGGGAGAAAAGTCAATATGCAGTAATAGCTGGAAAATATGGTAAATCTTGAGAGAAACAAGCTCTGTAGTACATGTTTCTGTGTGATTACATCTGTAAAAAATGCCTTTTATTATATTGTATTTAACATTATTGTTGATATTTGCATATTATTGTATAATCATTAATCAATCATCTGTCAATGTTTATAATTTTCTGTACTGCTTTGGCAATATGGGTTTCGGATCTGTCATACCAATAAAGCTTATTTGAATTTGAATTTGAATTAAATTTGCAAACCTCTAGAACAGTGAACATTACTTACCCTCATACACCCAGTCGGGGACACCATTAAGGATCTCATTCTGTTTCCCATTGTGAGTCACTTGTACAGCTTCAGCATTGATGTCAGATTTGAAAAAAACGTTGAAGTCTGACACGTAAGCCTGCGAAATACGATGTAGTTTCAGTTTTCAATTACTTTAAATCCAAATCCATACTCAGATTCATAAACATAATCACAGACATGTTTTTCACAGTCTTACAGGACTTTCTATTTATTTTGCCAAATGCAATCAGCCCATTATTGCATCACTCATAGAGGAAACATATGTAAAAACCAGTGATGTAGAAGTAGCTGCAAAATTATTCACTTCAACTGAATGTGAGGACAAGGGTACATGATGGCATGGTGTAAACTTACATATTTATGTCCTGCTGGGGCCCAGGCAAAGTACTGCACAACAGTTGGAATATTGACAGGCGTAACAAATGTTCTGCAATGAAATATGAAAATGATTGAGGGTCATAATCACTGTCTATCACTCTGATGTTTGAATTTTGTCTGAATCTAACAGATTGCCACTGTAACAAAAAAAAACAAAAAAATTCAGTTGCACCTGCTTTTCATTTGTTTGAGTTTTGAAATCCTGCTATTTAAGAGCAATACCTTCACAATAAAGCGTGGGTACTTACGAACGCTCCCTGTCATAGATGGAGTAGGAGGCTGTGAATGAATGCCTCCATTTCTGTTGGATGTTAAAGCACAAATCTCATTTTCAGACTTCTGGGATCAGGTTTGTTATGCGCAGACGTCAGGTGACATTTACATTGAATCGCTTGAAAAGTTGAACTATTGGGGAAAAAACAGGCAACTGGAGGGCTTTCTCACCTTTGTGTAATTGCTTTCAAAAGCGACATATTTATAATCACCAGACAGCATGTAATGTGCGGCATCCACTTGGGCCTACAGTGAAAATCATTATGGAAATATTAGTATGAAATATTGTTCAGCATTGATAAAATTGTTTGTTGTTCAAAAAATGATCATATTGGAAGAAAAAAAAAATATATATATATATATTACAAAGGTTGAATTGCTCAAATATAGTGACTTCTCATTTGTTTCAGCATTGTGGAGAAAGACATTCCCCTCTGTTGTTTTATGCAGATATTCCTTATCTGCAGACAGGAAGGACAACGAATACTCTTGTGAGAGCTTTGTACACAACATGGAGAGTTTTATATTACGCTGCCCAAAAGAACTACTTGTATAACAAAGGTGACTTGACTGGTACCTGATATCCAATACAAATTGTAGGCTCTCCACCTTATGGTGTTATTGAAGTAATCTTCAAGGGTGAATGGCCTTTTGATGCCATCAGATTCTGAAATGATGCAGATGAGATGCTGCGTTAATTTAGCACCAGAGCTTTGCTGCTCAGAACAATGTCAGAAAGTGACGAGTGGAACAGTTTTACTGTGAAATCTGAAAAGAGAAACCCTCCACACGGTGGCGCTGGCATGGCATTACACTGATGACCCCCCCATAAAAACACAGTTAATATAAATCATATAATCGCCTTCTGTTCTGTCACAAGTTTGTCACTGTGTAAAAAAAAAAACACACACACATTTCGGCAGAACAACATGCAGGCATCTTTGTTACACAGACTGTTTTTGGTTATTGTCACACTGACAGGCAGCACAAACACAGACAGACAGACAGAAATGAACAGACAGGCCTGAGCTCTGACTTACTGCTGTAATAAACTGCCGGGATCGTTATTAACGTGATGACGACAGCAGTTCCTACCACCCCCCACAGCACCTTGTTGCAGCCCTGTGAAAGGTGACACACACACACACACACACACACACACACACACACACACACACACACACACACACACACACACACACACCCTGAAATTTTCTGGAATCACACAACACAAGCTGACGTTGCAGGTTCCCGTTTAGCAGCCAACTAATTTACCCTAAAAGAGAGTTTGACACCGTCTACAGGAGCTAATCCTTCATTTACAAATATTTTCTTTGTATGAATAAAACTTCTTTTTCACAACTACAAGCGAATAGTAAATCGATTTACTGACCATGATGCCAGATGGGAGTCGCAGTGAAGATCTCAGCCTGTAATAATCCTCACAGGTCGCTGGCGTTAGGTTTAAAAGTGACTTCTTGGACAAGCAGCCCACAGTTACAACACACACTCACTCCAGAAAACAATGACTTTCAACTAAACATGGCAACATAAAGAAAACTGAGCTTGCTCCTACTTCAGTTGAGGCAGACTCCTCACTCTTCCCGCCGCATTCCTGAGAGGAGTCCGACACCAGGCAGAGATGACTCCCTGAAGTCAGCAGCTTGCAACTTTCCAAGAGCGCACAACTTGCTGGTATTTGGGAAGTGGCTTTTTCACCGAGGGCGCGAGTCAACCAGTCAGCAACATGTGAGAACGCAGAAACGGTAACGGCTACAGCTTTACCTCCCACTTCAATCCAACATGTTTATTTATACTTTCCCACTGTCAAATTCACCATAATAAGAATAATAAGGTTTTTTTAATTTATTTTTTTTCACTCTGAGCAAAGTCAGGTTATTCATGGGGAAAAGAGTTTTATTATATTGTGGATTAGTTATTCAAAATATAAATGGAGAAAAAAAAAAAAAAAGTGAAATAGTGGACACAGTTTTTACACATGAGGATCTATAGGTTCGTACATCCCAGACAATAAGATCACGTATCTTATCTGTATGCCGGGAACAATTGTTAAAAACCAGTTCTATAAATAGCTCGGTAGTAGTGGATCACGAACAGTTGGGTTTCATGGAAAATCATCAGCATCTGTTTGTCTGCATGTGTGTTGACAGGTGGGCTCTAAGGGGCTATCACAGGCTCAGTGGCTCCCGTCTCATGAGACCTCAGGGGTTTGAGAGGAAATTTATTTATTTTTCGACCCCCCCCCCAGTTTAGTTGTTACCAGATATGCACACTTACATATACTGTATATTTTATGATTGTTCAAGTGTTTCACCAGTAAATATCTTATAGTAAAAGATCAACAACAATCACAGTGCAAACCCACATTTTGACAAGTGCAGAGATTTGTGGATTAACATATCTGTAAGATGATAAAATTGCTCCACCACCACCATCGGCTAGTCCAGTTCTAATGACAATGTGACACTCAAAAGAAAGCGTTTGCATTAAACACAGTGTGATGGGGAATTCATGCTGTATGAGCCTAAGTAATCAGCCTTTTCATGATTCTACATAGTTTGAATTCATGCTGTCTCGTCATCGTCAGAGCTCTCTGCCACCCGCCTTGCATTTTCAGCGTAGTCAAAGGCAGAAAACTTGACGGCCAGCTCACTCCACTTGGTGCATTTGCCAATCTTCTTCCCACTGCACGTCACCACAAAGTTTTTCACATGGAGGCAGGGGCACTCGATGCCACGGTACATCATCATCGAACCCCATCTCTGCGATGGAGGAAGTTAAAGAGAAGTTAAAAAAACAATAAAAGGGATGATGTGGTAGTATATGCATGTCTATCTACTGAGTAAGCAAATGCTTGTTCAATGACAGCACTAATGAATGCTTACAATCATGCCGTTTTTCCCCTCGGCTATAATTTTGGGCGGTTTCCAAATAATAATCTGAGGCGGTCATGATCTCTCTGGTGGTAGCTGTATCATATCATTCGTATGATGCATGCTCTCTCCCATTTTGAGCAGCTTATTCTAATTAACAGCTGACCTTGACTCACTTGCTGCTTTTTTCTTATTCTGTTTAAAAAGTCAGCTGTACACTATTACAGAAACTAGTTCCTCTGATTACTGTTGCTGCATGTATCTTATCCAGCCAAGAAAACAAACAAAGGTTTTCTCAACAATGTTGAACTGTTCCTTCAAGGTTCATAAAAAAATCATCTTTCTTCTTCTCTAAGCAAATCTACTAAATCAACTAAATATCACGAAATACATTTACCTGCCCACAGTTCTTGCAAGATATGAAGCCATTGGTCTCATAATCTAGAAGTCGCTCCTGCAGAGTGGTGTTTTCCGTCAGATTGAAGAGTTCACTGTAAAAAGAAAAAAGTGTAATTAGCGATCAGAGCAGAATAACAATAGTGCTTTACAGTTTTTACATCACTTAACATACATAAAAGGTACAGGATAATGTAAAAGTCAATGTTAACTTGTAATTGGTACCTAAACTCTGGCGTAACATTGACTCTGTGTATGTTTTCGATGACCTGGATGTCTTCGCCGGAGCAGACATCTAGGCTGCAGCCTCGGCAGCTAAACTTCACTTCGGATGGGTTCTCAGTCTTCATGTCTTTGTGCTTCTTCTTGGTCACTCTCACCTTTTCCTCCAATATGGCCTGCATCTGAAACTCTAAGATCTGATGAAAGAAAAAATGAAAAAATAAGAATAGGAATTTCCATAAATATAAATATAAATATAAAACTTTGAAGTGAACATACCTGTTTGTCATAATCCCCCTGATTCATGGTTTTGATTTTGTCAATGGCTTTGTGCATCATGTCCTTGCGGTACTCATTGACATACTCCTTTCCAGCCACCCCAGAGTTCTTCACCTCGACCAGAGTGTAAGTGCTGTCCTCGGCTCTTCCTCTACCTTCAGCCTGAAAAAGGTGATGGCTGAGTCAATACAAACAGTATGTAACAGCAATAATCATTAAGAAAGACAACAGGTCCTTACTCATTTGACTGCTGTAATCACTGACCTGGATCATGGCGATCTCATTGGTCACAAGGCCGTACCGGATAACAAAATTGCAGGCCGGTATGTCCAAACCTTCCTCTGCCACCGTGGTAGCGATCAGCAAGTTGACATCACCACTGCGGAATTTGCTCAACACGTCGTTTCGCTCTGCCTGAATTAAAACAAACAAAAGTGTAAATTGGATTTTAAGTTGCACAGGATTCAAGAAGCAAATGTAGGGTGGTTTGTGAGGTGTGCACTCACAGAGGTCATGGGTTTAACAACGCTCTGGTCTCCTCCGCCAATGACATACGAGGCTTTCACTCCAATGTCAGCAAACTTAAGGTTTTCCTGAATCCACTGGCTGAGAGCAATGGCACTGCGACGTGTTTTGGTGAAAATGATCCCTCTGGCCTCCTCCCTGCTGCTGAACTCGTGCAGAATTTTACTTTGTAGTTTCGACAGGCTGTCATTTTCATAATCTGGATTCTGTGCGAGCGTCTGCAGCTCTTCCTTGTTCTCTGCAAGACATAGATTTTGAAGAACGAGGTAAATTCTTTGTGTCATTTTTTGAGATTAAAGGAATAGCTCGACATTTTGGGAAATATGTTCATTTGCTTCCTAGCTGAGTTAGATGAGATGATTGATAACATTGTCAGCAAAAATATGGGAAATTAGCCCAAATCCTTAGCACTTCTAATTAACACACTGTGTCTTGTTTGTTGCTCCTGAACAAGAAATAGTTATAGTTAATAGTTAATTCATGACCTTTAGAGGTGCTGGTTAGTGGATTTTGTTACCTTCAAACAAAGCCAGGCTAGCTGCTTCATCTCTGTTTCCAGTCTCTTATGCTAAAATAAGCTAACCAGCTTTATATAGCTTTATATTTACCTAACAGATATGACAGCAGTATCCATCTTTTCCTCTAAAAAAGCGCATTTCCTAAAGCCTCAAACTACCGCGATAAAATTCTAAAGGACGTGATCATAATAAAATCAAAAACTACTTTGTTTCAGTTTTCTTGGCAACACAAGAAGCCGCTGCGAGCAGAACACTACAATACCTTTAAACAGATTGAAGAGGAATCTCTCAGTTTCTGTGATTTGTATCTTCTGATCCTCATCTGGGGATATTTTTTTCTTCAACTCCTCCTCGTGGCTTTTGTTGAGGAAACTGAAAGCATCACGCATGCGAATGGTGTTGCCGAGATTCAGACCCTCGTTGTACAGGTGAAGGTGCTCCGCACAAACCCGCACTTTGTGATCCTCGTCTGTTGTAGCTTAAAAAAAGAAAGAAAAAAAAAAGATAATTGAAACAAGTTTTATATCTCTGTTTGTTATCAGTTATCAGCCACTTCTAAGTTTTACTCACCTTTTACCTTTTTTTGAACAACCCACTGTTCATAATTCTGAGAGCCAAGGTCGCAGGTTGGGCTCAGTTCGGCATGGGTATGAATGGCATTCATGATTTTCTTAATGACATCACCAAAGGGATCCTGAAAAAATACATTTTGGTTGTACAAAAATACAAAACTCTTAATCACATTCCATAGAGAAACTGTATCAAAGGGTTACCACGCTGACATCTCCTGTTAAACAAACATACCTCTTTTCTGTCTTCAACAGTTAAAGTTTTTTTCCTTGGTTCCTTTTTGTATTCCCCAAGGCTCCCTGTCATGATTTTGGAAGCATCCAAGTTTGCACAAATCTATCAAATAGACACAGATTTATAGTGTAAGAATGAATCAAAACCATACATGTCTGTCACACTGTTTCTACTAAACCTCTGCATGTATAACAAGGAGTTAAAATCTAAAGGGTGTTTTCAAGTTTCGTCTTCTGTGGCAGTAGGAAACTTTAGGGCTGCGCTGAGTGCACAGGCGGTGTGGAACATTGGAAGCAGCTTGGCTGGACGAACAGGAACCTTGATGACTAAGTCAGAGAAAGTGGGGCAGGGCTTAGTTGTAGACAAGATGAAAAACAGAAACTGTTTATAGTGACACGTGAGTATGCTGGACGCACTTAAAAGCTGCAGAATGTAAACCAATCCAATAAAAATACTCTTTTTGATTTGCATATATTCAATGTTTGCTCATGTGTCATTCATCTCTTAAATTGATTTTTGAGGCCAAACCTTGTGTTGTTGGTGTTATATTAAATCGCATTAGCTTATATTTACTATGAACACTTTTGGGTAGGAACAGAGAGATGAGAATGGTATTTACTTTCAGGATGTGATCCACCGCTTTATCCATTTTCGTGGCTCCCCCGACCCCCGGTGAGGCGGTCAGGCCCAGAATCTGAGGGAGGGGCACGGTCTGCTTCTGCTCCTTCTTCAGCCTTGTGTTCTTGTGCTTCTGCTTCAGGTAGCGCATCATGATGTGGTTGTAGACTCCTCCTTTCTGAGTGTGGTGACACTCATCTATTACGATCAGTGTCAGATCTACGTGAGCAGGAGACACAACAACAGACATAAACGAATGTATTGTATGTGACGTAAAGTCGGCTCTGGGTAATGTGCTTGCTACAGACAAATGAGCAGTTTACTGCAGTATAGGGAGAATAAACAGAGACAAAGACAGATTACCTCTTGCTTTAAAACAATATTTACATTTCTGTTTTTTTTTGGGGGCTGTAACATTATCATCAAGAGACAACACAGCTTACATCTTAAGTAAGATGAGACTTTTCTCAACCAAGCAGTGCTATTCTAATCTTATTTATTTACGTTTCTTAAACAAATAGAGGTGATTCTTTCCCTCACAGATTATAGCTTCTCTCTGTAAGAAAGATCCTCCCACACAAACTGGCGCCTTTTTCAGGAATTTTTGACGCAGCAGTTTAAGCCACACAATAACATACGCTGGGAAAGTGTCGACTTCAAGAACAACTTAAGCTACTTTGTATTTTACAAAAGTGTAAATGCGCATATACAAGTTTACCCAGAGTGATACAAATATCTCCCTGGAGAGAAAGAGGATGGAGAGTGGCAGCTTGATGTACTGTGGGTGATAGCAGCTCTCATGTGAATTTGATCAGCCACACACTGATGGCTTGAACAGACGTGTGGCCTGGAAATCAGGAGATAGGAAAAAAAAAAAAAAAAAAAAAAAAAAAAAAAGTACACGCTTTCAGGCGTTTCAACAAACAGCATATGTTCCACTGAGGTGGCTATTCCACCTTGGAGTGGTGAGTGCCAACAGGAGTGAACAGCAGAGCCGGAATACTTTGACAAGATCCTGTCAGGTATCATCAGGGGAGACGCTGCGGAGATGAATCCTCTGAGTGGCTTCTTATTCCAAAACCTGTCAGTGTCTGTGGTTTAAGTCTGGACAGATGTTAGCTGCAGGTTTTAGGAAGCTTTATTTAAAAAAAAAAAAACGATGTTGGGATGTCACGGCCTTAATCTAATTTTGAATGCTCATCGGTTTTTGTGTGATCAAATTTACTTTACTTAAAAAAAAAAAAAAAAAAAAAAAAAAAAAAAACTGAAACACTGTAAAATCATACCGCTTAAGTTCACCCCTTCGTCCTCCCCTTTGTTAGACCTCTCCAGGTAGTTTTCCAGGATCTGGGCCGTGCATATGATGACGTCATTTTTCTTCACAATCTCTGTGAAAGAGATTTTGAGCTGGCAGTCTCCACTGACTCTCTCCACTTTGTAGTTCTGCTTCAGAAATGGCAAGAACTCTGCAGTGAAGTGCTGCTCAACAAGAGGAATCTGTAAGACAACAGTGCAAATTCATTTTTATGACGATGGCGCTACAAAGTCAAGAAATGTAACAAAGAGAAACAAGACATGTCTGCAGTGTTTCTGTTACTACAAAGCTCCTGGTGATTTGAGAGTTGGTTGTTTGTGTTCACAATAATTGCAGCATTTATGAATTTATTTATAACAGTTTGGTAAAGATAAATATGTCCTGAACTTTTTTTTTTTGTTTAAACTTTGCTTGGGACAGGGTTTCAAATTAGTGGTGCAATGATTTAGGAGATTATATTGTTCATTGTTTAAGGATCAGGGAAGAGACACAACAAGAGCCAAGTTATGACTCTGTTCTTTCTAGTATTGGAGAATGAAGCACGGTGATGAGTTTCAGTCACATACCATTCACTATTTCTCAAGCGGTTTTAAAACTCAGCTTAATAGTTTTATAGCTGGAAAAGCTTTAGTCCAAAATGGAGTAAGGAGTGATGTTTTTCCAGTGCAGAGCAGATCACACATGTGCCAGATAGTAACAAAGTGCTGGGGAATATCTAAACCTTACGGTATGCAATTTGTGGTGAGCTGACCCACATGTGCAAACTGACTGAAAGATAGACTGTTTTCTTTGGATATAAAAAGGGCAGAAGTAGGTTACCAAAATAGTACAAAGCCATAAGTCAGGTATACCAGACGTTGGTTGTTGTACCTTGTTCACTAGGACAACCACTTTTCCTGATTGCCCCTCTGCCCTCCTGCAGTCCAGATGTTTTATGGTAATATAAACTGCAACTCTGGTTTTACCACTTCCTGTTGGGAGGCATATGATGATGTTTTTCCCCTTCAAGGCAGGTCTTGCGACGTCCATCTGATAATCTCGAAGAACAATATCAGCGTCTTCTCGGCCTCTGGCTGCTGCTGGGTCAGACAGACAAAACTTATGTCCATGTCAGCAGCCCACAATTACAGGCAGGAAAAGACTGTGCATGTCATTGTTGGTGGTTTTGGTCTTGTAGTGGAATGTTTTCTTAATGCTGCTATTAAAGTGTCAAAACACATAGAGTAACACACCCAACTCTGAACCGTCTGAACAATTTACAAAACCAACATAAGCACAGAGTGGAACTTCCATAAAACCATGTCTTATCTAAGACATGAACACTGTTCACTATAAATCATGTCACTGAGAGACACTATTGGACCATTTCTGCTTCATTCAAACCATAAATTCCCAAGATTTAAACTATGCCAGAATCTACTACAGCAATTCACATGAGCCAATTGAACTGCCTGAAATTTTCCAAAAATAATCAAACATCAGGCACTGTTTTTCCTTACACAAGCTAACATCTATATGTATTTATTAATCATATTATGTCAAATTGCTTGGGGTGTATCATTTCATCCTGTGTCATTTTGGTATTGTTTTTAAGGACAGCAGACTTGCTATGATCCACATCAGTCAGCCCTTAAGTCGCTGGCAAGCTATAACTCACTTGCTCTGTCTAGGCCAGGGATAAAACATGACTAAGGAACCATGCACAATGTTCATGTACCCTGCCCCTCCACCCTATAACCCTTTCCCCCCAGTTATGAGTTCAAACCCCCGGAACGTCACTTTTTTTTCTCAGCAGTGCAGACGGCTTTTAATTTTCCTCCTCAGACTTAGTATGCCAGAGGTTAAAGTGCTCTTTCAAGCAACTACATAAAGTAAATACATGTCTGTGCCGATGGAGAGATAGAGCTTTAACAACAATAAGAAGGAAACAGTGGCCTTTGTAGCCCCCTGAAATTCTACCAGCAATTCCCAGATGCTAAACTTATTACAGAAAAGTCAACAGTCAGCGAGAGGAACAGAAAACTCATGGGCCTGTGTGAGTCAGTCTGTGTGTGAGTCAATTTGAACTCAGTTTATTTCTGATGACCCACAAACAATTTTGCACTTTTCACAGACTGGTGGAACAATCTTATATGTAATCTTCTCTGTTCAAACTAAGCAGTCTGGCCGACAACGGTCAGGTATAAGCTATTACTCAAATAAATGAGGCAAACGGTACTGTAACCTTATATTAATGAAAGCAAAGACACTTCCTCCGTTTCTTCATTTCGTATGATCATTTCCATTGTCTCATTAGTCCACATTATGCGCCACTACTCTGTTCTGGGCTGGTTATCCCTGAAGCAATCATTCATTGTGTGAAAAGAATGTCAGCTAAACACTTCATATGATGACAGTGCAAAGACAGACGATGCTGATGCAGTGGCTATGAAATAATCAAAGAATTTAGAAATGATATAAACCTAGAGGTGTAGCGGAGGGCCCCACTACACAGCGACTCAAACTAAAATGCTCCTTTACAATTCTCTACAATCCGCCAATACAGAATCAGCATGTGGTTTTAATTTGTAGCGCTGGCTATGCTCTGTACCTCTTTGGCCTCTATGCGGTTCATCATGATGCACACATGGAACATATTCTTTGGTGTCAAGCCGGCAGGACAGATAAATGTTCCACTTGCAGCACATTCCCACTACTACACAATGTCTTTATGATACTATAAGGCATCTGCAGATCCAACATAAAGTTTTCCTACTATGACTTGAGCTTTGTTTTTGGGTGTGGCCTACTGAGGCAGAACAAGAGCAAGCTTTTTCTTTTTAGATTACCAACATTCTTAAACAACATTAACAGCATCAAGGGTGAGTGAGGTTGAATCAGTCCCACCTGGTTGTGAGGGCTCCAGGCTGTTTGGCAGTCGTCTGGAGTCAGTGCTCGCTCCCTCGTACAGGTCTGAAAAGATATCAGCTGAGGTGTAAACATCACAGTCGAGAAAGGCAGGAGATAAGTCTAAACATTGTCACTGTAGTTGGCAGCACCAGCTGTTAAAGGGTCAGTTCACCCAAATTACTAAAAAAAAACAAACAAATAAAACCCCCAAAAAGCTAATTTCACCACTTATCCCTAGCCATACAGTTAGTTTCAGATTTACAAGGGATTTGAGACTTCTGTCTCTGCAGCCTCTGCTTTCTCTCCAATAAAAGGGAGGCGAACTGAATTCCCTTAAAACATTTAAATTACATTACATTTTTTTTTTGAAGCAATGCCCCAATTACCCATGATAACCCACACACATGGTTACAGTTTTTTTCTTTAAAAAAAAAAAAAAGTACTTTCAATACAATACTGATGAACATGACCCTGTAACACCTTTATACATAAAATGAAAACCATCTATGTGGTTAGACACCACTAAGAGTAACACACCCAGTTACTTGACCTGATTTGTTCAACATGTACTCAATCAGGATCCCCCTCTGACTGCTGTCAGCTGTTATAGGTGATATCTTTATGTGTTTTTTTTTTCACTTGTCATTGTACAGAGGTTCTCTGTGACACCTGTGTCTTCAGGATCCTCTGTTGTGCTGGTGTCCATAAAGTCTGGGCTACTGCAGCGGCTTTCAGTTGATGCCGGATTCTCCCCTGTGACGCCTTCGCTTCCTTTGGGTTCATCTTTCTGAGAGGGAAGTTTCTCATCTGAGCCTAACAATAAATAAATTTAAAAACATTTTGGAATTGGAGAATTGAATCCTAAACAACAGTAAGAAAATAGCTTTGAGTGTATTAGATATTATCATTGATAACTGCTCGTAACACTTTAATGAATCATAAGTTTATGAGCTCTAATAAAGTTGGGGTGAGGACTTGTTTCTACACCAACAGATTGCAAAAGATTGATGGAATTCCCCAATGATCAATGTGTGCTTTAGTAAAATTAGTCACCTGGTTTGTCACAGTCAGGTGATGCTCCACCTCCAGTCAGCTCAAACAGGTACTGATGTTCAGTGTCACGCAGAATTTTGAGAAATTTTGAAAACCACCCTGGTCGACCTCTCACGATGTTTCTCAGAAGTTCACGAGCTCCACTTATGGATCCTCTGTTTGCTATTTCAGCTCTAATCTAAAAAAAAAAGAAAAAAAAAAAAGACGAAACACGATGAACATAATAGGTGGAGCAGACTGGTTATGCAATCAGAGTGAAATGCAGAGCTCTACAAAACGGATGTGTGCATTTGTCTGCCACCTTGTGGTCAACAACCACAAACACATGTATAGGACAAAAGTTTCAGTTCAACAGTCAAACTAGAAAAAGTTCAAACTGAACATACAAACTACATGTGCTGTCAGTTTGTATTATACATTTGTTCTGAGTGCACAATGTGACCCTTTGAGCCTGACACGATCTCTCTCGGCTGATAGATAGATAAATAAATAAATAAATAAATAAATAAATAAATGTCAGCAGTGTTTTGACAGATCTCCTTCACTACAGTGTACTTACAATCTCATAGTCCTCATGGGTGAGCAGCTCTTCAGAGTAACAGTGTTCACACACGTCATCGGTCTTCATGCTCAGAAGACCTGGAGACAGGACTTGAATAAGCCGGACACAGTAATCGTTCTCTGCCTCCTCCTCAGGCCCCGGGAGCTTGCACTCCATACAGTCCGCTGCATATTCGCAACCCCCATTTTGCAACGCGTCCACAAACGCCCTGAACCAGCCGAGGGTGTGAGGTTTCTTAACGACTGCGTTAATGAGGAGCTCCACGGCCGCTATGTTACCCTCGCTCCTCGCCTTTTGTCTGATCTGTTCCTTTTGCTCCTTTTCGATAAAATGAACGTGATCCAGAACCCGCTCCACCACAACTAGCTCTCGCAGCCTCGGCCTAAAGTCTTCAATGAGAGTCTCCCATGTTTCATCATTATCAGATGCCATTGCGACTCACCTCACCTTTAACTCTGACAGCAGTAACAGTGCGACAGACTCGGCTGCAGCGTAGTTTGAAACTATCTACAGCTCTTGACGATTCATTGCGATTATAACGAAGAAAACGAAACTCTTTCACTTTCGTTTCACCAGAACGATCAGGAATTCAAAGTGGCCACCAGATGTCAGTGTTGGAACACAGTGGGTAGAGTTTCTGCACGTTACACTAAGGCCTCCCAACATTTCCCATGGATTACACTGAAGCACATACAGCTGTTCACTCCTGTAAAACACTTTAGACAAATGTTTCAATGACCTATAAGGACTATTGTTTGTACCCAGCTGTTAGTAAGGGAATATGCATTTGGGCACTACTTACCTCTGTATCACGATAATATATATATATATATATATATACTTATTTAAGGAACTTTTTTAAAGGCCTTACTCACCCATTTGTACACACACACACACTGTTGTTTTCAGTTGTGGCTGATTGGACTTCCTCTCTCTCACTCCCATGTTGCACCTGTAAAGGACAACCTAACACCTTTCCAATTGTTATTGGCCCCTTTGGTTTCAATGACCTCATGTAATTCCCAGTCGAGCTCTGCCCAGTATCAACCTGAGGAAATGTCTTAATTAGCTGCAGTTGTAGTTACTATTACTGCTGCAGGTCAGGACATATCTATAAGACAAACTGAATGCAAAAAATATGTATTGCTATGTATTGATAGACATGGCTCCACTACAGCAATACAGTGCTGCTTACAGGTTAATTTAACAATAATTTATGACCACGAAGGAGAGTACTTTCCTAAGGCAACACTCAAGAATCCCTGGTCATTTCATGCTATTTCTGATTCCTTACATATTGCAGAAGTACATAATCGTTTTATGAATTTGGCCATTCAGTCTGAAAAAGGCAAAACCAGTGATACAACTATAAGTGTGTTTTAATTTATTGCTCCCACAGCTTCAAAACAAACATGTACTACTGTTTCGCTAAAGAGTTTCTCTTATAATTTATAAGTTAAAAAAAATGTTTGTTTTTTTTTTACATCTGGCAATAGGATGTATTTATTTTCTAACAGCTATCTAACAACATATCATCTTTAATGTACATCGCCAACAAAAAGAGTTCAGGGAAATAATGTGATTTGTTTTTGTATGGTTAGTTATACATGAAGATGCTGACTTAGCATTTGGATTGGTTGTATAGGCACCTGTTTATGCGCAAGTACTAACTTCTCCTGTGTTCAAAATCCCACACCCACCTTCTGCTCCCAACACACCCTCTCAGTGCATTCTAAAAGAGACAAGTATGCTGACATCATTTTATATCGTCATGTGCTACTTTGGGCTCATAAGCAGTGCAAAACAGTAAATATATAGATATAAAACACATGCACTGCCTTGTAGAAATGCCTACATCATACTTGTTTGTCGGAGGACTAGCTCTGGGATAACAGCAGAATACTTTTCAATCTGCATGTTATGATATCTGCCCAGACAAGCAAGTATGGTGTGTTCCGTTGGCTTAATGTAATAGAGTAGGTGCACATCAGTGACCGCAGAAATAATGCACATTGTTTAAAGAAAACTACAGTATACTTGATACTGTACTGTATATTGCAGTGCAATTGTCCATAACCCCTGAGTCACACTTCAGAGAAGACAGGCATACAACTAAGGATAAGAAAACAGTTCTCACACCTTTGTAATAATGCTGTATTACACTAATAGCTGCAGAAAATAGTTCATATAGTATGTTTATATGCAGGCTCAGGCCCTCTAAGAGGTAGAGTCTGTCTACGTATCGCACACAGGCTTTAGACTCTAATAAGCTCTAACAGCGATGACCAGGCTCATCAGTGACTGCTTGCTGGCCAGTATCAGGCAGGATCTTCTGTCACAGTGGAGAAAATTCACTGCAGTGCCTCAGTTTCAGGGGCTAGGCAAAGTTTTCAGCTGCCGGGGGACGAATAGCTGGGGCTGTGTAATCTTTTCCCCTCCTCATACAGGCGCTCACACCTGTGCATTCTTGCTTCCAGGTCTTGGCTTGCACCTACGAACCGCTTGGACACCAATTCTTTGTCCATCAGCTGCCAGAGTATCTTGGTGACAGTGGTGGGCTGCCTCCAGTCCGCATTTACAGTTTCTAGTCGTAGCCTCACCAGCGCTACTTGCCTGTTGCAATGACTGTAGTGTAGGAAGCTGAGCTGTCAGTTGCATTGCCCCCGTCTCTACGGCCACTTTGGCAGTGAATGGTACAGTAGCTGCTCTCTGTTGACACTCAGCTTAACTCAGATAACTATTCCCTCATCTGACCACAGGCGTGAAAAGGTGGGAAAAAAGGTCAGCAGATTTTTCTTTTTTTTTTTTTTGGCAAATTCCTGTCCAAAGAAATGATCCCTGTTAACTTCTTGCCACTCTCCCTTGCTTTCTGCACAGTCCTGCTAGTGGAGGATTGGCAGCTTCCAAAGTAATTGTGTTAATTGTTTTTTAATACTGCTTTAAACTGAGGGAGTGCCATTGTAATTTTGTTGTGTTGTTGCAACAATGAGTTTTGTATGTTTTATTGTGTCCCGGTCTCAGTATGCAGAGATGGTCATGAGACTTCAGCGTGCTGCTGCTGCTGCTGTCACCCTCACCTTCTGCTGGAACAGAAAGGATTTTTGCGGAAGGTTTTTGAGTGTCTGTCTTTGCCATAAGTCCGTCCATTTTTCCCCCCTTTCTCTTCCTGGATCCTTGCCAAGCATCATCAGCACCCACAGGTACATTCTCTGGCTCTGTACCTGACAGCAGGATGAACCCAAGGTGATATGACAGACCAGTTCCTTTATCCTAGAGTGTCTGGACAGGGGGACCAGCCTAGTGTGAGGTAGGTCAGTCAGCTCCTCTGACTTCGCAAGTAACGATTGAGGGAGGGAAGGTCAAGGGTGAACGTCAAGTGTGTCAGGCTTTTTCCCTAGCTCCATGAGTAAAGTTGTGAATGTTGATAGAGGTGCTTTTGTCTGGCAGTGCTATGCACCAAGACCAGCTTTTTATGACAGAAGGTCATGTGATGTTCATCCTGGTGTCCCACTCCAGTGAGACCAATTTGTATGTTGGGACAGGAAGTAGCACAGAAACCATTAGAGCCCATTAGAGTATAAAGCCTGGTTGGTTGGTTGGTAAGTTTGTTAGCTGTTGTAGTGCTAGTTCTATCACAACCAGGTGGAGCCCTTTAACCGGCACCTCTGCTGATTAAGTAGAATTTAGTTAACCGCTTCATCCTGATTGGTTGGGCATCAACATTTTCAGTCAGAAAGGTGAGTGAGTGATGACGATTATAGATTCAATCTGAGGGCTCCTGTGTAGCTAGAACTACTGTTACAATATGTAACCAATATTATTACACTGATAACTGCAGAAAACATTTTGTTATCACACTGTTAACTGCAGAGAACAGTGTTTTATCCACATGCATAATGAAAAAAAAAACATCTTATTTCTACTACCAAGGCATTGCAAATTAACAATACAGATGTCTGTGCCAGCATGCTGATAAAAAAAAGTTGCTACGTAGTAATTACAGCATTACAACCCAGATATTAGAGCACTGTGCTGCTGAAAGGTTTACGGTCCTGGAAACTCTGGGTCTGAAACAGGTCTATGGAGTCCAGTGGTGTTGAGGTTGGAGTCAGAAGGGGATGGGGAGGAAGAGGAGGAGGAGGTGGAGGAGGTTTCAGTTGGAAGAAGGATCAATGCAGAATGCTGATGCCCTGTGATCTGTTGTTGTCGCTGCTGTTGTTGCTGTTGTTGCTGTTGTTGCTGTTGTTGTGGCCCCGTATGTCTTTGTACAAGCAGTGCTGTAAGGCTGTCGTCGATGGGTGCATTCACGTTGGCCAAGCTTGACAGAGAGTCTTTGGATTCCTGAATGGTGCTCTCTAGTTTGTGGTTGGGGCCCTATCAAAAAGAGTGACAGAGGTAGAGGTAAAGGTTAAAGGTCAGCATTGGGGAAAATGGACTTTATTTACTCTAGAAGTGAATCCAATTCATTTTATTCAGTGTTTGTACTCATTTAAGATATATCAACCTGGTAACCTGTTCTCAGCAAATAAGTTTAATTGACCGAATGAAATAACTAATATAAATAATATTAATAATGTACTGTATATCAAGCTTACAAAACTTTATTTTTCAACAGCACAAAAAAACAGATAAGTTGATAACCTTAGAAAATATTCTCAGACATAGGCTCAGATTCTTTCCTGTGATTGTCCAAATGTTATTGCAAAAACCGCGGCAGACAAACCGATCCATCAAGACATTCATCAGTAACAGTGTGAAGCAGTTAGGAGCAAAGCTTTATGAAACAGTGGGAGTTTGTGAGATTACAGAGACTGTGATAGATGACTGTGATGGCCGGCTGATGCTTGGCTTCAGTTGAGAAAAATACAATGCTTCATGTTCCTATGTGTAAAAATCACCTGACTCGTGTGAAAAAAAAAAAAAACACTCTACTGAATGAAGACGCAAGAACATCCTTACTTGAGTTCCTGTATGGCTGAAAAAATGGCTTGCAGTCAGAGCAACTGGCTGAACCTTCACTGCAGGTCTGTGATAGTCTGGACTGGCAGTCACAGTGCTGTAGGCTGGAGGTCCCAGAGTCGGCTGCCTCTGTAGCAGCTGCAGGATGGTCTGAATATCTGACATCAGCTGAGACTCCAGCCTCAAAAAAGAACAGAGAAGAAAAGAGTAAGACGCGCAGAAAGAAAATTTATCCCAGAAAAGAGACAAATCCATACTTTGTCTGATACCTGTCATGTCTGATCATTTAAGGGCAGAAAACACACAGTTGTACTTCACTGAGCACTAGATGGAGCTTCTGCTCCTCAACAGTGGACAAATGAAGAGATGGCAAAGGTGTGGAAACACATTTTGCCAGAGTAGTAGACCAAAGACGCTCCTCCTGCTAGGAGTGATAATGAGCTTTGTGTGGGAGGTGTGAATTCAGCATTTACTGGGGAAATGACTGTATCACACTCATTTGGTCAATCTAATTATGACTAGATTTCATCCAAGCTCTATATTTAGGGCATCAGGCAAAATTGGATAATGCAGAATAACCTTTTAATTACCCATAGCCCATTTAATATACATAGACAATGTCAAATTGGCTATGTTCCTGGTTTACTGTGTTCCTGTAGCGAGGCAGCATTTGTTTCTGAGGTAAAGACTGATGTGTAAATTAAAGAGACAGAGTACATATTCAGTGCAGGTGCAGCAAACCAAATTTTTCTTGGTTATTTATAAGGATTTGTTGAGGATACTGCAACACAAACATTTGTTTCCCCTGTCATATCCTTTCAGAATAGTCAAAGCCACAAAAACACAAAATGACAGAGAAGTGCTGCTCATCCTGCAGCCAGCTAGCATTAGAGGAAAAAAAACAAGGTCAGGTAGAGTGCAGTGGATAAAATGTCTTATTTGTGCTGAATAAAATGAGCCAGCCCAGTGTTTCAGGCAGCCCGATGCTGTCTGCCGTTGTCTGTGATAATTCCAGCTAAAAATACCACCTGCTGTTCATTTGAGTGTCTATTTCAGGTGGCCTGCTGGCTGCAGGTATGTCGTTAAAACGATGGCCAACCAGTAAACTACAGAATATGATGAGACTAAAATGGAGGGATAGTGTGCTTACATTTTTATTGTTTAAATCACAGAGTTTTGCTAGAGAGTGGCTTTTGTTCGAAGACATTTCAGATACACTTTGTTCTCAGTCATCAGTTTTAGATTCTGAGCGCTACACTATAAAATCTCACAAACAAAACCTTTTGTACTAATTCATTTTCAAGTCTGATATGTTCCGGTTCTACAGCGGTACATCCTGCTTCCAGCAGATCCAGCCTCCCACTCTGAGTCCAGCAACAGCTTCTGCCAGCTAGTTCCCCCACCTACTCATGTACAGTACATCAGCAATTGAACTACACGCTGCCAGTGATGGCAGTGGAAGTGTGGCTTACTTTTAGCAGTGTGGGAGGTGACAAATTTAAAAAACAACGCACTCCATAATAATTAAGTCACTAACTGAAAATGTAATGATAGGATAATAAATGAGAATAAAAATAAATTTTATCTATCAAAATGTCCTGCCCTCCTGGCTTCAAAGGTGTGTTTAGAAATGTCTGCACAGGCTGGTTTCCAACCACTACCATTTGTTTGATCTGTAATGGGCCACGAGCATGGCCAAAATGGTGTTCTGGTGTGCTGCTTTTCAGGCTACATTAGAGGTGCATGAGTCAATTGTAACTAATCCAGTTTATAAGACAGCACCAGAGACATATAGGTGCATTTGGTAGTGTATCCCCAAGTCTTTTTAAGGTAAAACAACAAGTGTTCCACCCTTCAGTTGAAGAATGACTTGAGCCAATCAGCAAGCTAAAGTTTACAGAGTTGTAGAAGAGGCTGCAATGGATGAAAGAATAAATTCTGTTGATGTCTATTTCCCACCTGTGGCAAAATGCTACCTTGCCAGTCTAAGAGTGGTGGAAGAAGCATTCAGATCTTTACTTAAGATGTATAGAATAACACGAGATAATACTTACCGTACATACTTTATCATCAAAATGTATACAAAGTTTACAAAGTAAAAGAATGAATGATTGTTACTGATGCATTTATGTGCAAGCACTGTGCTCTGTCAGATCTGTTTCAGTTACAATTATCCTGCAGGTGGCCTAAGTGAAGATGATAACCACCTTTATTTGATACAGTCTCCTGGTAAGCCTGGTAAACTGTTTCACTGTGTACTAACATCAAGTGTAGTGAGTGGGCACCAAAGACAAACCCAAGATGCTGCAATTTCAACCAATATGAGTGTCTGACCTGAGATGTCTGACAATATGTCACATGAAGGAAAAAAAGGTTCAAGGTTTAAGTTCACATTCTGGGGTTATTCATAGTTGATGACAACTGAAGGAGGATCAACAGTCCATATGCTGACTCCACAAATATGTACCTGTTTAAGTGCTCTTGGAGCTGACCTAAGCGCTGTTCCACCTCTCCATACGTGATTTCGCTGGCAGAGTTATCATCTTCTCTCAGGTCCTGGAAGTGTGCTGACTCATCCAGGTAGTCCGTAGGCTTCTTACAGGCCCATTTATCACAGCACAGATCTGGAGGGCCAAACCAACACGCATGCTTTACATCCTCACATGTGGGTCAGAACAACGTCATTACTAAAAAAAAAAAAAAAAAAAAAAAAAAAAAAAATCCTACTAAAATAGAATATAATTAATCTCCACAGAAGAGCTGTGTGTAGCTTCTTTGTTGTAATCTATCAAGCCCATGTACTGGGAGAATTGTTAATGCAATGTTTTCCAGTAGCAAACTAACCCCGCTGTTATCTCTGCTGGGCACCTGGTAGTATTTAGCTTGTTGTCCGGTGATATGGGTTGAGCTTCTTTTTGTTATTGGAAAAACATAGATGACTAGTTCTGTGATTACACTATCTCATGCAGCAGTCTGTGCAGGAGGCTTTGTACTACCATGTTGAGCCGTATAGATATGAGCATCAGTGTTAGCTGTTCAGTGTGCCTTCACTATGGATGGCACTTAACTTCCTTCTCACATGGCCTTATTTCAGCAGTGATTAACAAGAGCTTTGGTTTGTCACTCAGCAGTTTGTTTCTCCATATCCCCAACTGACTAGTAGACTAGCTGTAATAGCTGGCTACTGAGTCTTGTTAATAGAATGCACTATGTCCACACAAAACCCTGTGATTTCCATGTCAGATGTTTAGTTATGGTAAGAGGACAAAGTTTTGCAGTTATTGTAGCGTATGTTACTTCTTTTAGCTCAGTATGTAATAAGAAAATCTGGCTGTAAATTTGTAATTAACACTTTCTGTAGTTTGTTTTAATTGAAGAAACATTTGAAAACCAATATGCAGCATACTGCTTTAGCAAGACATTCTGTATCCTATTTAGTATGCAAATTGCAAATTTATGTCTTTAAAGTTTGGCCCACTTATACAAAGTGGACACCCGAAACTCAGAAATTAGCACAGAGTTGAATGACGTCTCCCGTTTATGTTTGCCTGTGTCATAGTCACATCTCTATTGTGGAAAAATAGGTCAGTGGATTGGCTGTTGTTGATATGTACACAGGTGTGGACACAAAAACATCAGAAAAATATGAAGCTATTCATGTCAATGGTCACGCAATAAAAACTGCTTTTGTGAAGCTTGTAATGTTAGGCTTTTGTTGGCTGTGTACAATAACTGGATGATGATTATATCAAACTATTGTTGTGATTCAACTCAACCATCGCATTTTCCTCTTTTCTCCTCCCTGATTAGGAATGGCTAATGCACCTGCACCATGGTCCTTGTCACTCCTAATGCTCTGTTCACATTAGCACTTCATGAAAAAGCAGCCTTCTTATTCAATTCAACTATGTTGACTAATCAACCGGTTGATAACTTTGTAATATGAATTTTAACATTTACCTAGAGGATAAAATAATTGTGGTAACTGTCCAGAGATGTGAAACCCTTTCTCATACTATAATAAACCGCTGTGCAGTGTTTCGGCAAAGAAAAGGACAGATTTGTTACTCAAACCAGGCTTGGATTCCTGGGAAGATTTCAATACCCTCCATACATATGCTTTAACCAACCAATAGGAGTTGGTAGTGTGGTAACAAGGACACGATCCCCTACTTGCTTCCCCTGACTGCCAACTATGTTTTTTGCCTAGCACCACCTAGGAGAAAAGATGTAAAAAATAATTACAGTTCATTAGTAAAACAAGGAACATTACCTTCAAAAGATGGACTTCTCTCTAAACTGTCTCTGACAATAAGATCTGAGTCCAGGACTGGGGGAGTGGGTGAAGAGGGACCCAGGACTCCTGAACATCTCTTTAGGCACGAGTTGGACTCCCTCTCCCTCCCCATGTCTTTAACCACTTCCTTGTTTTCCCCTGCAGAATTGCAATCAACAAGGGTTAGTGGAATAACACAGTACTCTATTCCACAGAGAACAGCTGTTCTCAGCCAGCGACGCTCTGTGAACAATATAAATAAAGGATTTGCAACCACAAAGCTGAACAAGGCTGTACTGGACCTGTGCAGATTAGTCTCAATTTACCTTTAGATAGATCTGGGGTGAAGGAAATTCTTCTTTTAATGCTTTTAGTGCCCTCGTCCTCTGAATCATCGTCTTGGGAACCGGAGGCCTATAAAAATGTGAGTGTTAAAATCTATTAGTTAAACCAGTTAATAGTATGTGTTTATCAATCTCATACTGCTAGAAGATGAATATAATATAATTTTAAGTATATAAATGTCCATGGTCATGACAATGTGAATGCTTGTTAAACAGCACTTTATTATCTACCTTGGCAGACTCATCTCTGAGGTTGAAGGTAAGCTCCAGGTTGTTGAAGAAGCAGTCAGCGAACTCTGGGTACATGTCTAACACCTCCAGCAGATCTTCCCTCTGAATGGTGCTGAGGTCACAGTAACTCAGAGCTCGCACGTCAGCGTTGGACTTCCCAGGCTTGGCAAACAGATGGATCATTTCTCCAAAGATGTCATTTTTTCCTGGTAGAGAGAGAGAGACACACAGACACACACAGACACACACAGACACACACACACACACACACACACACACACACACACACAATAAATCTTCTCAAAAGGTTCACTGGGAATAGGGGAAAACGTCAGTTTTACCTGCAATGACTTCTACGAGTATTCATGCATATTGTAGAGAAGAATTTGTGTTGTGTTCTCTATAGGGACTTATCTAGATATTCCTCAGGCTCTCACTAAAGGGCAGCAGACGTGTTTGTTTTTGTGGATAATGAAAATCAAACAGACTCTCCACTCTGTGTAGATGTTCTCCCAAGGCCCATGCATCAGTTGTCTTTCTATCTTTGATCCATTATTAATGCTGAGGAATAACTGCTAACTCGCACCAACTTTGATGTGTGAGGGAAAGGAGGGCTTGATTGTGACTGACACACTTTAAATGTTGTGCACTTCAAAGGCAAAGGACTTGTGTTGATAATGGCTATCACATAATGAAGCCAGTTCTCCAGCAAGTCATAAAATCTAGTTTTCAAACTGACTTTTCTCTGCTGAAATGAGCATCCATTGTGCAAAGGACTAGAGGTCCAGTTTAAAGGCCATCGTGAAAAATCCCTTTGTTGGTCCCTGGGTTCACTAAATGCCAACACTGTAAGCAGGGGTTCAGGTGAAAGAGATATGATATGTTAGCGGCCAGTGTGGCTTTCACAGCATGCACCGGACACCTCTCCACCATAGAGGACAGCCTCACACAGAGTGGTGTATCTCTCCTGTGCACACAGCGCTCACCACGAGGATTTAGATAGTCATTAGCTTGGATGGCAGCGCGAGAGACTAATTCCTCACCTGTGGAACAATGCTATTAGCCTTGTTGGACCCGATATCATTACATGAGAAAAATGCTTTAACACCACTGGCTGACCACTACCTTGTTACAGGCTTGGGAGGTTTGGTAGCTGATAACAGACCAAGCAATATACAAGTTTTCACAAAGAAATTGGAGCAAACATAGTGCTGATGGAGCATTATATTAGTATCAAATACAAATGGGCTCAGCTATCTATGAGATCAGTGACTTTTCCAGCATGTTTGTTAATTTTTTTGTGTGATGCAGCAGCTTTTGCTAAGCTTAAACCCCATTCTGTCAGGCGCAGCTTTGGAGAGCATTCATCTCATGAATAATGGCAGGTTTAATCCAGGCTTGGCCTGTAGCACCTGGTTGTGGTTTACCCGCGAAGAAAAAAAAAGATAAATACTCGTTACCCTAATAAGAGTAATGAGTATTCAGTATCACAATATTACTACAGCAAAATATGAATACAAATTAAGAGCAAGCAGTCGTTTTAGTCGGAGCTGTCTTTTACTGCCGTTTTTTATAATTCCTCCGTTGCAGCTTTAACTAATTTCCCTGTGCTGTCAAAAATATGGCAGCTATTTCACCGTGGTCTTTGAAATTGCCAAACAACCTTTCATGGAGCCACTTAATAGAAATGTCAGAGTCTCAAACCTGTCACATGAACAGCACTATTGCCCAGAGGACATAAATGGGAGGATGCGGGGGGGTGGCAGGCACACCTTGCTATTCTTGTCAAAGTGTGTGAACATGATGTGGTTTAGTTGCTGTAATGACTTGAAAATTATTCATGTTTGGAAGGACTCCGATTATAACACTTCATTCTTTGATGTGCACACAAGTCACGCTGAGCCTCTTTGTAAGAATTACTGTGTTAAAATAGTTTGTGTCCACTGGGAAAATCCACTGCCTGTCTTTTCCAGAGCTTATGACAGCCCAATCTCCACATATTTGCAAATATCAAGCATCCTGAGTGGAGTGGGTGGTTAACTCAATCAATAATTCAAATATTTCAATCAATCAAAACAAACTACATATTTAATACCCTTCACAAAAAAGCCAATGGTAGAATCCAACATCTGTGTTAGCCCATTCTCTGTTTTCTGACAATTTCCTGACATCATGTAAAGCATACTTTCAGTGTGACCTCTTCATAAGTGCTCCCTGGTTGATTATATAAAACAAAAGCTAAAAAAATTACTGATTAAGATTTGCCAAACCAACATTAAGATCAGAATGAATTAAGTTTTCATAAAGGATATACCTCACAGGATTATTTATTAAAATTCAGGCAATATGTTCAATTAAGTAAAGAATTTGCCTCTGGATGTGACAACATGGCACTAACACATAACCGACAAAGGGTTGTATTTACCCAGGATGGCTACCACAATGTCATCTTTCAGGATCTCAATAGAGCCGCGGGACAGAAAGTAGAGAGCAGTGAGCACATCACCACCGTGGACCAGGGTGTCTCCAGGAGGGGCATGAGTGGTTTTGAAGCGCATGGCTAAGGCCCTCAAGCAGCCTTTGGTGGCTCCTTGGAATGCTTTGCAGTTGTGAAGAAGATTCCTGTTGAGGTGAAGGCAGATGTCTGCCTGCAGGCACTCAGGAAAACCTTTTAACACCTATGATGCAGAGAAAATCTGTGAGCAAAATGCACCAAATTTTGGTTTGATATCCTTCAAAGAGATGCATTTGGGTAATTGCTCTGCAACCCGGTGGACAGTGAGAGCAGCAAATGTGTTAAGATGAGTGTACTTTCACTAAGAGAAGTTGTAATTAAGCTCGACAACAGCACAGAGATGAGGATATGGTATGAAAACAAACACGTCACAGAGTCATAGACCCATTAAACACAGTCCAATAAATATACAATACATCTTAAATGTAGAGAGCAATGTAGACACTGTTATCTAAGACACATTTGTATAAATGATCAAGATGGAATAATTGCTGAAAGAAATGTAGCATGTAAAAATAAAAGCCACTTGGATTTATGTAACCGCCCCCTGAGCTAAACACACAGCACAATGCCTGCTCAGTTTTGGCTGAACTGGTAACGCATAATATCAGAATGAGGAGGAAGTGTATTGTGTGATAAATGTGAGCAAGAACGAAGCCATCATTTTTATATTCTAAATCCATTCATTTGTCGGAGCCAAGGATTAAATCCAGACTTTTGATGGAGGCATCCACCTTAAAAGGAAAGAACTGACTGCATGCAATATCATTAATATTATCATTAGCAAAAAGCAGAAAAGCAGAGTTTACCAGTTTGGCCAGTAAACACATTTAATAAGCCACAACTTTTATGCTTTATCCCACTCCTTAATAAAACACATCACATATGTTTATATGGCATACATTACAAGGATGGGAAACAGTAACTACTAGATATTAAGGTAAATACATGGTGTCGACAGAAAATTACAACGTAGTTACTGTTGATGTTATTGTTAATAAAAACTGTCATTTAATAAACTTCTTATTGTTTATCTTGTAAAATAATGTTTCTTTCAAGTGTGTGGATCCATAGATGTGTCCATAGTAGTGTGCAATATGCATGCCTCAAAATCAGAGATACACTTGTACAGTACATAACTTATACTTCAAAATATCACAGTGATGGATGAGGAGCTAATTCATGGGAAGTAATTCAAGTAATGCTTTAATTTTACCCTTTTGGGCTATTGTTTCTTGAACTAATGTGAGACTGAGAAGAAGTTTGACCAAAATGTATAACAAAAAAATGTAAAAACTGCATTTTTAATGACAATTGCAGTTCATTTACTCAAATGTCCAAGTAATATATAAATTACTTATACAGTATATAAATAAAGTTTAGTGAGGAAGAGTTTGTAGTACAAATGTACTGTATTTAGCTATTAGTGCTGATTAAGTTAAAATTAAGTTTACCACAAATGAATGTTACTGATAAAAATTAGTGCAAACAAAATTTCAGATGGACACTGAAATTAGACAAGACAGAAGCCTTATATCAGCGCCATTTCAATGCATACATATAGTTTTTTTTACAGAGACATTTTGTTATTTCTTTGCTATTGGATGAAACTATGGAATGAACAAAAAATCATGCATAACTGATGGAATTTCTAATGTTTATAGTATATATGAGGTTATTATAAGAGGTTATGCTGCCATGAAAACGACAAGAAATAAAAATATGTACCTCCTGCTCTTACCAATGAAGAGATGTTAATCCAGGTGAAAAGCAGACAAGGGAAAGAAAGCTCTTTTTAGAGTATTGCAAAATGATGATTAAATATTATTCAACAACTTTAGTTCATTTTGGGTGGATATGCTATCCAATAACAGTGGAATACAGATGTGTTGATTTTCTTTATTTACCGTGTTCATGTCAATGCCGTTGGTGTAGGTCCACGAGTGTTGGAAGTACTCCTCCAGCCTTTGCCTCAGTGGGTTGGGAATCTGGTGAAAGCGGATGAACTCCTTCACCCGCAACATTTGAGCATGATAACGGGCCGTACCCGAGTACAACCTCTGGATGATGGCAGAGACGTTTCCAAAAATGCTGGCATACATTAGGGCTGAAACACAGGCAGTGATCAATAAATGAGGAGGGTTACAATCTACTGACTGATTTGCATTTTCATTGCCTTCACTCACACAGACACACTGTTAACTAGAATGAATGTGGACAAATGTTGCTATAAACACAGACAATCTGTTGACCGGGATCTGATTAAAAATAAACGTCTACGCCTTAAACTGTTTTAAGTGCTATGCCAGATAAAAGCAGAACTAAGTTTTGCTAGAAGATAATAAAAGATGTTAAAAAAAAAAAAAAAGACCATAACATACTCACAGCCAATCAGCATGACACAGATGGAAAAAATCTTCTCTGAGTTGGTGTTTGGGGAAACATTTCCAAAGCCCACACTGGTCAGACTGCTGAAGGTGAAGTAAAGCGCTGTGACATACTTGTCCTTGATAGATGGACCAGAGCTAGGATCGCTATAGTTGTATCTCTTTCCTATGGACACGCCCAGATTATCCAGCCAGCCAATCTTGTGCTCTAAGTAGGGCTTCTCCACATTGCCGATGGCGTACCATATGCAGGCTAGCCAGTGGGCAATGAGGGCGAAGATGCACATGAGCAACATGAGGACTGCAGCTCCATACTCAGAGTAGCGGTCCAGTTTCCTGGCTACACGCACCAATCGCAGGAGTCTAGCTGTCTTCAACAGGCCAATCAGGGTGGTAGTCTAAACAAAATGTACAGCAGGGCATTTTATTAGTAAAAGCACTGGTGTTTTTCATGTTAATATGTCAGTGTTTTAATACAATAACCCTACTGTCAAAAATTTCTCACATTAAGAAGCAAGCTTATTTGTTGCACATCTATCACCACATCTGACATGTTAACAACAAATCCAAGCTGTGACAAATCAAAGAGAGTCACCTGACAAACTAAAGTAATGAGTTTCCTGAACAGTGGGGGAAAAAAAGGCAAAGATTTTATCCCCACGGCCCTTTGGTTAATTGCAATTAATACAGAAGTGAAGAAAGTGGCAGCCCACAGGTGAATCCTCATCGAACAGGCAGTAACACTCACTTAGTGGGTCCGTGGGAGTTTGTAGCTGCTTTTGTGTGTCATCAAGAATCACTAACCACCATTCCCATTAGCCTAGTCACTTATCTCCCTGACAGAAAGGCCTTCGAAAATAAAGTTAATGTCTCCAGATGAGAGAGACTCTTTTTCTTAATAAGTCTGTAAGTATTGTGCTTAATCTTCCACATTCTGTTACTTCACTGATATTGTTTTGGTTAAAGCTACAAGCACACTACAACCTAATTAAAGTTAAATTGAGTCTTAAATGTACCTGCAAAAGTAATTACATAATATAGCTGCACAGCCCCCCCCCCCCCCCCCCCCCCCCCCCCACTGTGCTCTCTCTCCCTCTCTAATGGGAACATCATTTAGTGGTTCAAGTGGGGACAAAGCACTCAACTTCTTTTCCACTGTATTCACAATAAAACAGCATGAAAAAATCTTTTGTTTTTTTTATTCTATAATTATTATTGTGAACAAAACACTGCTTGATGCCAATTTTTGCATAATACCCCTCACGGTATGTTCAATCTCCTGGCAAAACTAAGTTGTTTTGAAAGCAACCTGACATTGATTGAAAATTATTTCAAATATTCCCTGCCCTTATCAAAAGGTTTACTTAAGCGCTTGTAGGTTAAAGCCATCTTATTAAGCTGCTAAATTAAATGAGCCTTGTGGAAACCATCTGCCGCTGCCTCGGTTGCTTTTATTTTCTGAATGAGGCTTCAGTTGAGCAGGACTTTGTGTGCTCGGTCTGAAAAGTATAAACACCAAGCTGTAAAGCTATATTTAGAAGTAATGTATCTTCATGTTATCACAGTATATGTCAATCCATGTAGAGACCAGAAAGGGAAAAGACTAGTTCTCCACTAAAGATAATTTTTCAAATGAAAATCAAGGTAATGGTGTCAAATAGCTATGGCGAGGCAAAGTAGAATATGTTTCTTGCAACTCATTTGCAAATTTTCCAGGACTGATTTGGTTTTTGTTACAGCCTCTACTGTGAGAGACACAACCATCCATTTCCTTTTTTATTTGTTGTCACTCACTGAACTGACTCAGCAGTAGCAACAGCAGCAGCAGCAGTGGTGGAAAAGATGATTATGGTTTATAATCAGGAGCTTTTCTGGTGTAATGGAGTGCCTACAAAGCACGATAAAGCACTGAAGTGGATCCAGATCCTGAGGGGGACATATCCTACCAACAAACAAGCCAGGAGGCCTGGCAGCCAGCCTACCAATGGCCATCTCACATCTGCATGTAAGCTGTGCACACAGCCCTGTTGGCCTGCTCCTCACATAAATGCATCATTGATTGCCATTTGGTAAGCCATTAATCCGTGGTAATGTATTCTAGAATGAGGGCCATTCAGAAAAAGAAAAAAAAAAAAAAACGAAAAAAAAAAAAAACATGCAATTTAAAGTAATCCTTTCAGAGCCGAGACATGACGATTCAGGCTTTAAGTAGTGGCCCAGGGGCACAAGTCTGGACTTAGTAAATGGATCAGTGCAACAGAACAGAACAGTGCATGCATTGCTGGGTGATGTGCAGTAAAGCTCCCTGGGAGAAAAAAACAGGTAAAGAAAAAATGCATTAGAGAGAACATACCTCATCAGATCCTGAGCCAAAGATAAGAAGGTCAAAGGGGATTGCTGCCACCATGTCTATAAGGAACCAGCCTTTAAAGTAGTGGATCGCTATCTTAGCTGGATGGCTGACCACCTCCTCGTTCAGGTTTACGTAAGTGGTCCTGAAGTTTATCAGGATGTCAATGATGAACATAATGTCCACCATTAAATCCACTACATTAAGAGGACTGCAGGAGTATCCACATTCACGTCTCTTCTGCTCCTCTTGGTCATTGAGAAGAAAAGCAGCAGAGTAGGGAGTGAGGATTGCTGTGTAAATAACCAGCAGCAGGATCAGCCAGTCCCACACGGCTTTGAACGGGCTGTAGTGGAGGATGGTGAACTTGTCAATGCGGGCTGTCTGGAGTTTGTACTCCGGCAGCACATCTGCTCCAAGCGACAGGACCTGGAGGAGTGGTAAGAGAGGGTCAGAGCAGCGAGGTAAACCACCTGATTACACCACTCCACTTTGAGCATCTGCTTGTGGATCCTTCTAACAATTTTACCATAGACAGCTTTAGTTTTTTATTTTTATGATAATTATTAGTAAAGCACAGCAGGTAATTCACCCAGCTCACAGACTGCAGCAATTGTGACAGTCTAATGTAAGCACTCTGCATTGGGTACAAACTGTATTGAGTAAAGGCAGCCACTCTAGTATGACAAGCAGATTGCGTATGTCATGTCATCATAAATAATGTGAATGCCACTGACTTGTTCTATATTTGCAAGAGGTACATTGTGTACTCCTGGAAAAACTGTGAGCACTTTACTGTACAGATGGAGAAAAGCGGTATAGATTTGTGCTCATAGATATTTTATTCATATATTTCAGTAAGCAAACATTTGTTTTAATTTCACCATATGAACTGGACTGGATGGTAAATTATTCAGTGTTCCCAGGATGGCCAAGCTGTCCCGTTTTTGGGCTTAATAAGCAAGGGCAGACAAAAAGAGAGACTCTACTTATGGCAGAAAATAGTGCAGGAGTGAGGATGAGGGCGACGGGTCTTTCTATTCATTTCGGCACATCCTCCTATCTTCAACACATGAATTATATATTTCCCCATGCTAGGAGTCAGGAAGTAGATGCAGTGTTCACATCACAGCGGTGTCTCCAAACTCCAAACTATAGTCAGCAGGGAGAGAGGGTATTTAATCATGATGATGGTTTGTCTTTATTTATAAATGAGAAAGCTGTATTGAAAGACATTGAAATATAAGGTTTCTGGGCCTCTCTTGTGCTTGGTTGTCGCTAACATTGCCCAGGGGGTATTGACAGTATTGTTTTTGTGCAGTGGTGTGACCTACGCACAGTTTTTAAAATTTGTGGCGCATATTTGTGCACATTTTATTTGTCAGAATGATTCAAGATAACCCCAAAACACAAACATATACATTTGTGTCTTTCTCTTTTATTTAAATCCATGAAACATGGATATTTGTTGTAGTTGTAGTTGAGACTGTGTTGAATATCTGGACTCCCATCTGTCCTTGATGTGTTGGCATCAGCTGTGCTGCTTGTCTAGTCAAAAGGGAGTTGTGCCACCGGATAGCCCTTGTTTTGGCCACACGAGAGGAAGTACTGGGTCTTCTGCAATGTCCTTGAGCAAGAAACTGAATCCCTGCTGTCTGCTGGGTGATAGCATCCTGCACTTTGATTTGAAAAATGTAATTTCTATTTCATTTCTACTAACCACTGCTGATGTTAATAGGTATGAATTTGACAATTTTACCTCAATATTATCTCTTCAATTAAGAATGCCCAATTACCCCTCTCTCTTGTCTTTAATGTCACTGCTCCACTGTTGACATGGGTAGGCAGCAGACAGCCATGTGTTACCTACGTGACACATGAGATCACCAGCTGCTTTTTTAACCTGCCAGCAGGAAAGTTCACTGGCAGGGTGTAACATGTGCTGTGTATCAGTGTATCACGCTATCCCACATCCTTCCTTGGAGGCACCCCAGCCAGTGACTACATTAGGATTCATTAGTGTAGTGACAAGGACATTATCCTTTTGCCAGCCTTCCACCCACAAACACAGCCAATTGTACTCTTTGAAATACAGAACCAAGGACTTTAGGTAATTGGAACCCTCAGTGCTGCGACTGTGGCTGAGAAACTTGCCATTGTGTCACCTATGTACGTGTGCATTTCAAAATGACCCCCTGCAGATGCCACAGGACACATGGCAAAATACTGCAATATCAAAAAAAAAAGCAGAACTTCCTCACTCACCTGTGTGACTTTTTCTGTGACATTGTGAGTTCTGTCTTTGACCTTTGGTGCTATAATGGCTTTCTCAGATGTTGGCGGCGAATGAGTCTTTTTATCAGTCCCCTCAGAGAAGTTGAGTGCAATCAGAGGGATCTTGTTGATGGTGCTATACTTGTTGATGTTAGAATCAGAGGTAGAGCCAAGCAGGCTGGACTTCACGTGATTAAAAGGGCCTGATGGTTTAGAACGAACAACAGACACATTAGCACCCTTGGTAAAGTTATCATATCTAGGTTAAATTAACTAAATGCTGTAAGACTGGCCATTAATGTGACACAATATTTTAAATTCATCAATAGACAGTGTTAAAATTATACAGTACGACATAAGTCGTCACGAAATGATGGCTCTAAAAACGAAAACGTCAATATATAAATGATGTGGTCATGAAATTGATTTGGTGGGCAGAGATTAAGCATTTACAAGTAACAGTTTTAGTGAGATAGTTTTAAAAGCATGGACTTAAACAAATATTTAAGGAACAATTTGCAGATTTTAAACCTTATCTCCATGTTTTAGATACTGAGGTAGCAAAACTGTGATATAACTTTAAAATGTAGATGTATTAATGTAGCCAACTGTACAGTTGCAGCCTACGATACTACACACTTCTACAGTACCACAATACTAATGTATTACAGCATCACTGTTAATACATGCACATGTAAAATGTTAACTGTATAGTGGACTAGTGAGCTGTTGAGTACAGAGTAAGTTTTTCTGTAACCTAACATTGAGTTGGTTTATGGACAGCTATTCAACTGTTTGGGATTTTCCCACAGATACTGTATGCTTCATTGCTAGCTTAGCTTGGAACATTAGTCAGTTAGAAGAGCTACAACAATATCACATAATACAAGCATATGCTCATGCAGGTTAATTCAAAAGCAATGGTTTGGTTAGCATACGATGAAAGCTATGAGATATGAAGTTTATGTGATTATGTTATGTGATTTTATAGATGGTTGATGTAATAAAATCACTACATAAGTATACAAGTGTACAATAATTTCACATAATTAAGTGCAGTAAGCTCATTCAAACTATCCCACAAAAGTGGATCTGTGAAGAGCATTTTTGCTTGATTGTCCTGCTTGAAAGTCATGCTCCAAAACAGCAATGAAATTATGTGCAGAAATACATGATTACCTCTGACATGGCTACAATTGTCTAACGGTAGCATTGTGTGGACAGAGAAAGGATAAACATTTGAATAAACCTATACATAAAAAGTAAATCATAAGAGCAAAATTAATAGCAGTGTTAACAAAAACTCTTAAACATTATTTCTGAACATTGCTGTATTGATCCCAGTGTGTGTCAAGTTAACACGGGTCTGCGTTCAAATGCAAACTCAGTCATAATGTGATAGGTTGGTTCAATGTTGCACTGTATACTAAACACAGAAGTTTTACTGTAGTACATACCTTCACTTGTATGCCGATCCCTGAATATGCTTTTGGAATTGCAGCTATAAGCCTCAATTTCGTGAACCGATGAGGCTCGCCTCATGCTGCTGATGCTGCCTCTGGGGAAGGTGTTTGAGAGGGAGGTAGAGGATTGGTGCGGCTCCGTCTGGTACAGCTTCTCCCAGGGGAGTTTAGGGGATGAATGGTCAAGTGGTTCGGGGCCGACGCTTGCCTGGGAAGAGTGGTGGCTTGAGCCTATGAGGGCATGTGTGTCATTTGCCTCGATGGGACTACAAATGCTCTTGGTGGGTGAAGGGAAGCTCTGTAGGGCCACTGAGTCTTCATTCTCTTTGGGTGAGTCCACCATCACAGCATCTGGGTCCTCTTGCGGAAGAGATTGCTTGTTGGTATTCATTAGGCTCAAAGCAGCCTGGCGGAAGCGGAAGAATCTACTCCTCCCTAAAAATTGAGAAGAAATGATGTGAGACCTTATTAAGTTTTTGGTACACTGCATTAAAAATTAAAGTATCCCAAAAGCATCAAATCATGCATGGTTGGATAATAGGCTTCTTCAGCCACACACACACACACACATATATATGTGTGTGTGTGTGTGTATATATATATATATATATATATATCATATCATATCATATATCATATATCATATCATAGCAGCATATTCTATATTCTACTGTTTATTAAATATGTTCACTCTTAGTGGATTAGTGCACTAAACTTTAAAATTAAGACAAAGTGAAAAACAAATGATTCGACAATATTGATACATATTTCTTTTCAGTGGCTAAAAGGATGAGAAGGAGCAGATTGTGCAATCCCTTTTCTAGGCCTCATTGATTTTAGACAGGAACCCAATTTTTGTGCATAGCCACATCTTCAGAATAGACACAGTAGCAATACTAATGACCTCTTAGGACAGAGCGAAAGTTTTGGCTCATTAACAATAGAAAGAGGGTGAAAGTGAACCCTGCCTCACTCCTGAGGCACCCATCCCTCAGCACCCTCCTTACATAACATCATAGCCATCTGTTTCCATCCCCTGGCCAAATGTGCTGATGTTACAACTATAGCAGCTTACAATAGAGCAATGACACTCAACAAGTTTCCTGGAGAGGAACCTAATGACATCCTGAGCTGGCAGGAGATATGGCCGACCTTGCCGTCTCTTCTCTGCAGGGAGACTCTGGCATCTGACCTGAGAGTGCTCTTGGAAAAGTGTAGCTCATATCAACCCAATAAGATGCAGTTTGTTGTAAGAGTACCCTAAGGAAAACAGATTGTGCAAGATATAAGCCTATCCTTCTTGTGCAATGTAGTACCAATGATCACAATTGAGCCCTTCTATATAATCATCAGTGGCACGCAAACAACATCTTGTAAAAATATATGTATGGTACTACAGTAAAATTTGCATTATACTATACATACTTATAGTACTCATATTCAACTTGGCCAATATCATCTTCATTCGGAATGAAATTGTTAAGTGTTATCACATTTCTATTCTGTAAGTACATTTAATGGAGAGCAACTATAAGTAAAGAATTATTTTTAGCCACGAGTGGCGCGGCTCTAGGAATGACAGTTGGTCTGTTAGTGTTTCAGTCAAGATATCTCAGGAACTGTTTTCTCTAGCACCACTATAAAGTTGACATTTGTGTTTCTGAGTGAAATTTTTTTGAAGGTTAGGTTATTGGATGGATTGCTGATAGACATGAATGTGTCGTACATACAATCATGTCTATCATAACCTTGGTGATTCTTTAACTGTTCGTCTCACGCCACCCTCAGGTCAAAATTGTCCAAATTGTCCAGTACTTTGGTTTATGACCAAATACGTGCAAAACTAATGACACTATCAGCCTCAGTTTTATTATATACTTAATGCTACTTAGCAAATGTTTGCATTTTAAGACACTTAGCTAAGATGGCAACAAAGGTAAATATTACACCTGCTCATTCTCAGCATGTTAGCACTGCCATTTTGAGCATTTTATCATGCTAGTGTTAGCATTTAGCGCAAAGTACCACGTACATCCTAGCAGAGCATGGCTGTAGACTCTTAACCTGTTTAACGCTAAAACAGGGAAAACAAGCTTTGCTGGTAATCAAAGTCAACCAAAACTAATTTTAGTCACACAAAAATGTATTACACATATTTTAGGCAGAAAAAGTAAATTTAGGAGGGGAGTCAGATATCCACACATCACAAACCAAAGACAACTAGACTTGTATGTCTTGAAGACATGTCACTTCAAGAGGCTTCATGATTTATGGAGCATCCAAGGCTTGGGTTTTTGACGTCACATAAGAGTGGGTAAGATTAAAGTGGCTAGTTTTCTCTGCCGCATAAATGTGGTTTCTTGTGGGTGGCGGTGGTGATTATCCCTTGACAAGAGCTCCAGTCATCGTTGCCTTTACAAGACAAGAGGTTATACCTGGAAGTTACAGTGAGCCGCTACTGGAATGTGACGAGACAGGCTAGCTGGTTAGCGTGCTAACTTTGGTAGATGAAAAGACGTGACAGAGACGAGAGTTAACATTGGCTTTGCTTTCCACCTGCTGGTTGGAGTTGCCCTTCTCATATTGGGCTTGTTCACTGGATGCATATCATTATAGAATATTGTTGTGTGCACAGTTGGGTTTATGGTTATCAGGGTTGACAGGTGCCTGCCTTTGTTGCTGGGATTAAAACACACAGTGATTCTGTGAAAACAGAACCTCCACCTGCCTGTGATTTAGTTCTTCTAAATACCCTATTACCACAATGACAGACAATGTTCACAAGGAAGGTTGATTTCCTGTGATACTGTTGTAGATATGTCAACCGGTCCTCTACAAAATATGTGTTTGTTTAATTTTTTTATTACAGGTACAGTTTGCAGGTGAGTGAGAAAGGGTTGAGCCCTTTGAACTATGAGCATCCTGCCACTTTAAGTGACAGAGTTCAAGTATCTCAATGTCTATACAAGTGAGGGTAAGATATGGAGCATAAGATTGACAGGTGGATGGATGAAACATTGGCAGTAATATGGATGGTGTACCAGAGAGTTGTGGTGAAAAAGCCTATCTGAGCCTGAAGGCAAAGCTCCTGATTTAGCTGTGGATAGTTGAACAGAAAATAAGATTGTGGATACAAGTGGACATCATCAGTTTTCTTCACAGGGTGCATGGATAGGGTGAATATCTACATAGAGCTCGGAGTAGATCTGCTGGTCCTTTATACTAATAGTTTCAGGAAACCATTGCTGTAGTGTATGATTTCTATATTTACTCTGCATTTTGATTGTGTTTGTACTCAAAATCTATCAAGTTCTTGTTCATATGTACTCAGAATGAAATCAAAGATAAGCATAATGTTTGGGAACATCTACAACAGAATTTCTAAATCAAACTTCATTACATATTGTACAGTGTATGATACATTCAGTCACTGACTGAACCGTAAAAACAAATCTCTGTGTATTGTGAATGCACGCGCTCAAATCTCTAAGTGCATCTTTCTAATGTGTAGTTTATAACTATTGTCTTTAGTTTGAGCCTTGAAGGCATGTTGATGTTGCTGAATGGTGTGCTCTGGGTGGCAGCTCAGGGAAGGAGGGATAACTCTCTTCCAGGTTGAATATTGTGCTCGTTGACACCTGCCGGCTTATAGCCACAATGTCAAAAAAATCCCTTTTCAGAGGCTGCTACACTGAAATGTAGGACCAGGCTATGTACAAATGTTCTTCCCGATCATTTCAGATGAAATTCTAAAAAAAGGGTTTCCTTTTTTAAATCAGTGACGTGTCAAAGTTCTTCCGCCGCTTCCTTCTGTCATTCTACATTTAAGGCCTGATAACCTGAAAATAATTACATTTGGGTTCCAGTGCCACTTTATAGAATCTACCATTGGTCTAAATGCAGTCAAATACTGTACAAGTGTTGTTAATACACATCTTAAGAAATACTGAATATACTGTATGGCATGAAAATGGTCAATATGAATGACAATATCTGCACATAATATGTTGTTGTTTGATAGCATGCAGCTTCAATACAAGATTATTAGTCTCAGTCTTTAAAATCTGATTGAAGTCATACCATGTATACCATAGAATTACACTTTAATTTCCTGCTGTTATCTAGGGCTTGCTCAAAGACAAAGACAATGGTAAGGTCATACTTTAAGTGTGATGTGTGCATGGCATCAGGACTTTTTCTAATCTCAAGTCACATCATATGTTTATCTACCCATCTACCCACAGGTGCCCTTGCTGAAGTGTGGTCACAACCAATCAACTCTGATTAACAACGTTAGCAACAGGCACAGGCACTCACACACACACACGGGCAGACACACACGTGCATGCACGTGCACACTTAAATACACACAGTACAGCACAAGCCGAATGACAGTGCCTTGGAGGAATTCATGCTGAGTGAAGTGGATAGCTGAGCCCCAGTCAGAGAAGAGATGCTGAGTGCCTCCAATCAGGGAGGAGCAGGAAAGTCTCACTGACATTTACACCTCCTGACACACATCCAAATAAAAAATGAGGAGTGCAGTATATGCTGCTCTCCCAAAAGACATGAAACAGATATAAAGAATGTAACATTTTCAACTAGATAAGGTTATGTAAGACGACCATTCCCTCCCTGCATGCACACTATGTATTTTACTGCTGTACTGAAAATGCATTGTGCATAATGCAAACAAAATAATGCTCCATTTTTGAGAATGATAGAAAGTTGCAGCAAGTTTGGAAGTTACACTGAGAAGACAGGGGACTGCATCAAACGCTCTAGTGTTTAATTAGTGTTTAACAGATGTTACAGCCATCCATTTACGCAACTGCCCTTTGTTAAAACAGGGAGCTTTTTTAGGAATGCAAAAAGTGAACAGGTTTAATTTGAAAAAGAATAAGAGAAAGGTGACAAATGTATAAGAGATACAATCCAAGAAACCATTTTTTGGTACAGCATCATGTTATGATTTAGCTTTGGAGGCAGAAGCAGAAAACTCTGGTGTGGAGGCAAAACAAAATCCAATTTTTATACTCTATAGCAACGCTTTACTACTGTTATATCATAGTTAGGAGAGAATGGACCATCAAATACTCACTTTGATCTGACTTTGTAGGGGACGTGGGGCTTATCTTCTCTGTTGAGCTGTCACTTCCCTCATCCACAACGTAATCAAAATTTAAGATAAACATCATCACCACGCCCTCCTCATTCTTCACTGGAATTATGTGAGTGTTACACTGAAAGTCAGTTCCTGAAAGAGAAACAAAGTGTCAGTGCCAAACAGCTGAATCATACATTATCTTTCTCTTTCACCTCTCTATCTGCCATCTCTAAAAGCATTAGCATGTTCTAAGATATATTTTATCTTTATTGTATTGAATCTGAAACTATAGAAAAAACATTATGCTAGGGAGATTTATAAGCATGTACTATCACAATCGTTGTTTAGAATGTTAATTAAACAGAAAGCTTAAAAAATGGCTAACTCCTCCGTCTGAATTCACATGAATGTTGGGAAAACGTTGATGTGATTTAAAAGGTCAATGCCTGCATGTCAGAACAAATGACATAGTTGAGATAAAATAAGTAAGCCCCGGGGTTAAACAAAGTTTAGGTGAGTGCTTATGTGTTCATGTGTGTTGCATGCCCATCTGCGCCCATATATATGTATAGACCATGTGTATTTTAATGAGCAATACACACCATGAAAATGACTAAACTTGCAGAAATCAGACAAATAGGATGCAAGAGCCACAGTAAAGTGTAGACAGCATGGTTTAGCAGGATTGATCAAACAGGCAGGACAGATTACAGCCAATTTAGAGGACTGCCATGTGCTCATAGGAATAATCACCAGAACTGAGTGTCATGTGAGGCAGTGGAGCAGAAACCAATCCGTGATCTAAACTTAGTCTTGAGCCCATAATATCACAATTTTTTAACTGCACTGGTTTTGGCTGTGTTAGCAAAAGCTATTGATGCCTGTGGGTACAACAGCCGAATAATAAAACTCTCTACCCACTGGACCCAACACAGTAGCTACTGTACAGCAATGGTGACATGCAATATCACAGGTACGGGAGAGGGCTATCTTAACAGAGTTTTTTTCTGTTGCGATATGCGAAATAGCTCCAATTTTCAGCACATAATCAAAAAGTCTAACTGAATCTTTTCAGAGGATCATAAAGCTAAGGCTAAGCTAAGGCATTTGCCTTTTTCTCACCAAAATATCTAATACTAAAACTGTCCCTCTGTCACAATGTGTAGATCTGTCCGTCTTTCTGTCTGGCTTGTTGTGTTGCTCCCACTCACAGAGGACACATTTTACCAGTGTTCACTGTAATCTCCTCAGGGCTCACAGACACCCTGCCAGCAGCATTCATTAGCAGTAGACTTGCTGTCTGACTAAATATAACAAGCTTGGTCTGCCTCAACATGCCAGAGTTCTGTTGGAAGGATATCTCCATCAAAACCCTCATGAGGTGGGTATTGCTTCATTGTCACTACTGACAATATGATAATGTGATTTTAATATGATGGAAAGTTTTTTTTTTTTTTTTTAAGTATGAATTGCTATTTGAAAATACAGGTACAATTCAGTGTTTCAACGGCGTCATGTGATTTGATGGGAATGAAAATTAGGAAACACTTGTGCATGTGCTGTATGTGGATAACAAGGCCAGTGGGTGTGGACTACACACCCATCTTGTCTAGTGTCATTGGCGCCTGGTTATGTTATGTTTTAAAGTAGGAGAGCGGTGCTTAGAGAGCAGGGGAACTGCGAGTCCTTCCCCACAAAATCCCCTTTTCATAAAAAGTACTTTCCTGCATTTCGCAGAAATCCTTCACCTAATTCTACATTGTCCCTTCTATAAAAGGGAGCATTTTTGGTTTTTATTTGAATCTGTTTTGATTAAAGTATGCTCAATTCTCAGAGTAAAAGAAAAAGTAGGTGAGTGAGAGAGTTATTCAGTATTGTCTTTGAGTTATCGGATAAATCCTGTATGAATTAAAATGGTTAAAATTAAAAGCTTCATATGTTTTCCTCCAAAACTATACTAATAATTATTGATTCTGGAGCATCTATTGTCACGGAGAGAAGACATGAATAATTTGCAAAAAAGGTCTCCAGTTGAAATGCAGCTGGGTGTACAGGACCAAAATGTACAAATGGCATTCTTACAATAATTTAATATATTAATAAAGGTATGGCCTGGGAAATTCAGCCACTTGAGATAAGATATATTGAGATGATGTGTGTGATAGTATATGGTATTTCTCATATGCTAGTTCTTGCAGTACTTTTTTACCATTTAGACAATGGTAGATAATAATAGAGAGAGAGAGAGAGAGAGAGAGAGAGAGAGAGAGAGAGAGACACCAGGGTCCTGGTTGGAATTGTACCTCCAACTTTCATGGTCAGCGTCTTAATCTCAACGGTGGTGCCCCAAGTTACAGTATTAGAAACTGTGAAATGTTTGGCCTTGTTCATTCCAGGGTAAGACAACAAAACGTGACACTTCCCTGTCTGTCAGCCTTAATATAGAGCAAGGCAAAGGTGACGTGAGTTAGTTATCTGTAAAAAAGAAAATAGGAGATTTCAACATTTCTTCTCTTTTTGTGTGGAAAAGCTGCAGATGTCCCCTTTGCTTCACTGCTTCAGCTTGTGAGTACATTAGATCTAAATTTTGCTTGCTGTCAGTTTTTCTAAACTTTTCTGAATAGAGCAATTACTGGCGCATTAAATATGAATTGTTTAAGTTCACTGAATGCAACAATAAGCACATAAATTAAAAACAGTTTTTTTCTTAATTGCATTAGGGTTTCCCCATGCTTTCATACCGTACTCATTCTCTTGAGTATGTTTTTCTTTACAGAATATTTTAGACAACACGAGCATCCTGTGTTTTATAGCCACCTAACAGAAAAGTGATGTAGCTGCACTGGCAGCTTAGACTGAGGTACGGTAAGTGAATCTACAAAGAAATACAAAATGTGAACAAAATGCTGAAAAAAAAGCTTAGTTAGAAAGTTAAAAGCTTGAAATCACCCACCTGAAAAATGGGGAAAAAGGAGTAATGCTGGGAATATTTATATTTCTGGGCAGGAGTTTACCTAACCAGATGGGGAAACAATGGTCATGCTTAAAGGCTAAGCCATGGGGGTCCCTTCTCATCTGGTCTCCCGCTGAATGTCACCTCTACCAAAATGGATCAAAGGAAAGCTTCTTTATAACTGCAGTCTTAAATAAGCAGAAACTGCACTTCTAAATTTGATCTGCTAGCTTCTAGTCATGATATCCTTTATCATTTTTGTAAATTTGCGTATCTGCCTACAGTGCTCTTCTCCTGCTAAACAAGGGGAACTTTTTTGTGAGTAAAATAGGGATATCTCTTTTTTCTTCCAACCAAAGGCAGTGGCAGTAAACCATGTGATCAGCAGAGCTACTCATGACCTGAAGAAACACTGTCTATTGATTGGAAACAACTGTGTTATTCATCTCCTTTTTGACCAGGCCAAATAGTTTACTGAAGTCATTTAGGTGCGAAGATTAAGTGAACTCAACGCTTCACAAGTCCCCATTTTTGAATATTCTTATTCAGCAAACCTTATTCACTTCATCCCATAGTTAGTTATACTGACGGAGATCCATAGTATTCCATAATACTTGTGTAAATTTACTATATAATGATTATTTAACAAGATATTAATCCAGAGGTTTATAGAGAGTTTAAACCAAATGTCATAACCTAATATAGTACAATCAAAACCAAACTTTATATTTCAAGTCAACCTCAACCCATAGAATATATGGCTCAAAAACTACATTTAGGAAAGATCCCAAGTTCTGGATCTGTGATGCTACCCCCTGTTGAGTGACAAATTGCTTTGGCAGACATTACTTCTCAGTTGAAGTGTCATGATGAGCAAAACTGTCAGACAGTTTTATGAAGCTATGGCCTTTTCCAGACTTATTGGGAAATAATATTAGATTTTCAATCTGACCTATTTACAAGCTGTTGTGATACTACTGTGTACTACATTTGGTGCATAGAGTTACAGAGTGGGAAAAGCTTTGGGGAAATATTGTAATATATCATATTATATCAATACACAATGAAAACAAGGTGTAGTGAAGATCTCAACAGGGAATAAATACACTTCCTGTTTTATTTTCTGAAACATTTTTTTCTGTTTTCTCTGCCAGTGCATTTTCTTTTTAGCTTATTCCTGTTACTACTGATTGTCTTTACATTTTATAAAGGAAATGTTGCAGTCCTACTCCTCTTGTTACCTCCACCACAGAGGTTGTTGTTTCACCTGTGTCTGTTTCTTTATCAGCAGGATTCCACAAAAAGTACTGAACCGATTTGCACCGAACTCGGTGGCAGGATGGAGCGAGAGCCAGGGAAGTGGAATTGGGGGCTCTTATGCTAAATTAAGAAACAAATTCACTGATTTGACAAAACATAACACAGCATACAGACACACAGCAAATTAAGGAAACACAAGTAAAGAAAGAACCAAGAAATGCTGCAAGTTGTATAGAACAATACACAGAACTGAACACATAAGGAGTTTGCAGGGGGCACTAATGAACATTCTAGTAATCAGTAGACAAATGCTATAGAAGTTCAGCCAATAACTCCAGAAACAATAATATATAATATCGTCAGTTAACTATCCGACATCAAATCGCATATCCTGACGTGTTCACCTGTTTCCTTCTTTTGTGTTGTAACTATTTAACTATTGCAGTGTTTCTGCTTGTGTCTGCATATGCTCCATTTTTTCTTTACGCTGCATCATGTATTTTCAACTTGGTGAATGTGTGTTTTAATAGGCTTATGTTTTATTTTATGCCGCTTAATTTTCATAAATGTGACAGGTAATGATGTTTGCTTAATTTTCTTGTCTTTGTCCATTTGCAAGTGTTTTCTTAAGATGCTTTGGATTCTTCTTTTAGGGTTAGATTAAAATCTGACCCTGGTAAACAGTAACACACAAGCTATGACATACAGTGTGTGTGCTACTGAGGACTGCTGACCATTTGAGTTTTAGGCTATCCAGCCTTCAATTCTTCTCCAACACTCAACTCAGTACAACACAATACTCCCCAAACATGCCCATAGCATGGACCAGTGAAAGAGTGAATGTTCATTCATTCCCTGACCTTTATATATAGTGTTTCCCCGTGAGCCAAGAAATGTTATTTACACCTGCTTGAATGAATGGACAGTGTATTAAGACTAGCTCCCTTTTCATGATGGAAATTTCATTACTGTAGATTCTATTTCCATCATCAATTATTAAAACATTGCTGCTTAATCAAGTGATCCTTTGGGCACTATTACAATGATGACTCACAAGTCAAGCAGAGCTGAAATGCAAGACGTCGTAACATACATAAACATATAGCTGCATATACGTTTTTATAGTCAAGCGAGTAGTGTTATACATCTTTTAATCTTATTTCAAAGAGAGAAGCTTTTTCTTATTTGAACCTCACTTTTCTGGTTTGGATGTATTGAGGATTCCTATTAATCTGCATAAGCTGATCTGCTTGAGGGAGAAACATGAGTAATATTGTTGAGCGCTGATTTTTGTTTTTATATTTTCCTACAGATGTACCATTCACAACTGCAGCTTTTAAACAGTACAGCCCCAGACTACTGCCTGGTAGAAAGTCTTGTATAATGAAATCTGACATGTTTCTTGTTTAGGGCTATTCTGCTTAAGCCAATACGCAACGTTACTGGGGCATAGCCAATCGGGACTAGGGCATGTAGGCAGAGGCCATGCAAGCTAACCCTTTGTTTAGAGTGCTTGGGCCTTGTGGCAATATCTCGCCTCAGTTAAGACTGCTGTGAGCTACACAGCATGGCCTAATTTCATCTTCAATCAGTGTCTCCAGAGCCATCAGGGATAACTAGCAGCTCGAGCTCAAACTCCATTTCATTTGTGCTTACATTTTTTAATTAATTACAATCATGATATTTCGCGCCATGATATTTTATTCCATTTCATTTAGCACAAATGTTGGCACATTAAAGAAAAAATTAAGTTTTCATACAGTAACTGATTAAGGGCAGATGATATGGAAAGGAATATTAGATTAACACCTCATCCACAAGCATCCCATGAGATGAAAATAGCCCGTGGATGAACATTCCTATCCAGTGCAAAGTGAGACCTGTATCGTTGTAGTGGTCAGAGCTCCATCTGCACTTCCTCACTACCAGTAAACTTGTATCACATCCTATTTAAAGACAGCAATGGTAGCAAGCGATCCATATTTATCTGAGTAAATACGCAATTTTTGCAATAATGAAGCAGAATTTCTTCTCTTTGAAATGAGCTCAAGGTACAGTATGTCATCCACACTTTCCATAGTGCAAAGATGAGAGGCACCAAGCTGATTTCTCTCTAACAAACGCAACCTGATCAGGAAAGCTCTGTATGTGTTTCACCTCATACTGCGAGACACCAAAGAGGGCTGCGTGTGATGAAAAATGGATGTGCTCTATGGGATGCAAGTCATCCAAGTGTCCTGCAGCATACCTTGTGCACTGTAGGTGTTCTGTGTCCCCTCCCCCTTCACCCCCACCCCTCCACCCCCTCCCGCCACTAAACCCACAGCAGGGGTACACGTCCCTTCGGTCCCCTCTGTGGGGAGTCACCTATGAAACCCTGCACCCACGCATACCACATGTCCAAATCATTCAGCACGGTTAGCTAAGCTGCCGCTGTTATGTAGCCATTATCCATTTAACTTCTCTCTGCTGCACGGTGTCAGCTTCCTTTTGTTAAGACTCATTCAGGTACAAAGTATTATTACACCCCATGGAATAGGATAGCTTTACAAAGCCATCGAGGGAAAGCATTTATCTCATTGATTAGGTATCATCGTTGGGGGAAGACTTCGCGTGCGGTATCTTTACACACGGCCCTTCTTGGTCGTTCACGTGGAGGGGAGCACAAAAATGAAAAGAACATGCCCTTGTGCCTTTGCAGTGCTCTCACGGTCCCCATTGTTCCATTACCTTTAATATCTAAGCATACGCATAAGCAGCTTAACTTTTTGCCTTTTCAGTGAAAAGAGTAAAAGCTTTTGTTGCTCCCGATGTCACACAGCTTCCTAACATCCCAACCTTACTTTTGAAGATTTCCCACTGTAGTTATTGATGGGACAGCAAAAACAAAATGACACTATGTCATTCCTCTAGACTTTGTCATTTAAGGCCTCTCATAATTCAACCAACATTAAGAGCAACTGCATCTCCTGAGTGAAAAACTGAGAGAAATTGAGGGAGGAAAAACTGGCAACCTCTCTGAGGTTGCCAGTTTTTTTTATGTTCTTTTTTTAACATGCCCAAGTGATTTCTGACGTACAGTGGGTGCATGGAAAATGGAGGGCTTTAATACAAAGGATTAACTGATTTGCATGAGGAGTGATAACTTGAAATACAGTTAGGAGAGGAGACATGGAATACATCCACTTCCCACCCATCAGCTTCAATTTGCAGAGCGACTTGAATCAATAGGGCCATCGCTCTCAAGGATGCCATGAATCTTTCATTCCTCTATAGCAGTGGGAGCGTGTGGATTGTGTCCTCCATACCAGTTTAATGCATTTACCCTGTAAGATGCTCATTCCCAGTCACCGCACTGTCAGCCCTGACATCTTTATTCATGAGCACACATGCTCACCATAAATTCCTCTGAGGAGTATTAAGAGTTGTGTCTTGAAGCCGTGATGCACACCAGGGAGGATTGTGAAGCGACAGGGTGCAACGATTATGTTGGAAGGTTTTCTGTGGTGCTCATCCACCACGCTTTAAACATTACAGGCACATGACGTTTAGATGGAGTACAGCAGTACAGTAAGATGGGAGGATGGGAAACTAAATGAAGTCGCTTTAAAAATCCTGCTCGTCAAGAACCAAGCTGTTTGTGCTCTCACAAACAGACCCTTGAGTGTTTTCTGTAATTGTCTTGCAGGTTTCTATAACAATCTATTTTAGCAGAGTAGCAGCTGGCTCTTGGTTTCTTCATGATTAGCCAAGAAAAAAAAAAGAAAAAAGAAAAAAGAAAAAAAGAGGCTCAGCTGATGGCTGCTGATAGTAGATTAAACATGTATCCATGGCCTAGAATCTAATCAAACTCACAATTAAAAATTAAAACCCTGGCTCCTTATGATTAAATAAAATATTACCCCCCCCCCCACCCCAGCTTAAACTCTTTACATACAGCACTGCTGTTTTGTACATGTCTTGGAAGTTATCACTGAGCAAATAATATGAGTTCAAAGCATTAATAAACGCACGGCCTCTCTTGGTACAAACACTGGTGCAAAAATAAACGGGAAAAAGCATGTTGTTGTTGTGTTGCTCTACAAGAGGAGTACCTTCGGACTGACTCCATACAGCTATGTCATGCTGACCATAAAAAGCTCATGTGAGAGCGTGGCAGGAGGTGGTCAATCTGAGGATTTATGCCACTGAGCGGTAACATCGTATTAATTCTCTCTGACTCAGGATTGCTGTCTCTGCAGTACACCATTCATACCAGGACTGGGATTGGTCTAAAATGCATGACTAACACCAGTCTAGCATTAAAGGGAGAGCATTTTTCACGCATAGCTGGCAAAGCTGTACCCCCATCACATATACAGCAGTTTTGCAGATTAGTGGATTGATCCACTGCCTACTAAAGTTACTAAAGTCAGAAAGCATGATCAACTTTACAAGGGTGAGCTCTGTCTCAACCGTTGTCTCTCACTGTGTCCATCAAAGCACAAACACTGTACATCATGTTATCATCTGATCTAGCACCTACTGCTTCATCCTATTTCTGTTCCTAGTTCAATATTAAATCCAAAACCAAGAAGAGCTGTGCACCATAATTTTGGCAGGCAGAGTTTTTTTTTTCCCTTTTTTTCTTTTGGTGTCACCCAGGCACATGATGCTGTGAATCGAGGCAGGTGCCAAAAAGATGTGCCCCTTACTTCTACCTCTATGTTTCACAGTGTTCTCATATGGAGCTATTTACTGTTGTACCTGACACACTGACAGTGAGACCTCCTCTGTGCTGCACACATTACCATAATTGGAACCATTTTCAAACAGTAGCACTAAATATGAAGCATGTTTATGATGTATTATTGTTTAGATCTGGTTATTATATGCAATGTGCTGTTTGTTGTTCTGTTTGTTTGTTCTCTATTCATAACATTCCTGATGTGTTAGAGCGGCTCAAGGTTTCACATAAGACATGAATACCTCCAGCATAAACTTACAGAAAATAGTTATTTTAGAGCCAGCTTCCCTTCCTGTTTTTCTCTGTCAGGGGTAATGTGTGCTGTACATCTTGTAACTGCCTCTGGCTGACAGGCCACTTCATGAAATGGACATAGTGAGAAGCTGGAGTGGGCGCAACATGTCACAAAAGACCTCCCCTTGGCTTACAGGAATGCTGTGACAGCCACACTCTTGTGCCCTGAGTCACTGACTTACCATCCTTACGGTAGTAGGTGATCTCCACCTTGCGCTCCTCAGACCCGAGCACAGCCTGGGACACCTGGCTGATGGCCTCTTTGTCAGTCAGGTCACCATGGAGGAAGTCACAGGTGCACGGCTTCTGCATGATGTCTGGTCGGGAGAAGCCTGTCATCTCACAGAAGCCATCGTTGCAGTAGATGATTGCACAGTTCTCCACCCTGGCATTGGCTATCACAAATTTCCGGTCTGCATGAGAAGAAAAAGTATGCAGTGTGTAGCTACTGCCTGCTGTGGTATACTATACATGACCTCACAGTGAATAAAGCCAATCAGCAATCAAGCTGATTGAGTTCATTGTCACTTCTTAAACATTTTCACTGATGTTGTATAGAAAAATAAGCAGTCTACTTATGATTTTGTCCAGCACACCGCATATAAAAAACTCAACAATTCAGCCTGTCTTTTGTTTATATTATAAGAAAGTCACCCTAAAGAACTATTTTATTACAGGAAAAACATAAATGTATCCACTGATTTCCCCCAATGAGTTCTTATTTGTAAAAACATTTACTTTGTAGGTTTCCCGAATCTGCTAGCAGAAAATGTACATGAACGTACTTACTCTGACCCTCGAATTTCCGAATTATTATTCCAAGGAATGTGTTTTGTGGCGCAACGTGACCTCTTCTTACAGGCATGTTTACACACAGAATATCCCACGACCTCCGGTAAAAGCGCCTTTACAAGTAAATCCCGAAGTTACAGCTGATGATGGCTCTTTGTGATGTTTCCTTTAGCAAAGACCATACTCGACACGAGCGCTCTTCCCACTTTAAATGACCTTCTTACTTCGCCGAGGAGTTCTTTAGCCCGCTTGTATGCCCGAGCATGTAAATGCCTCCTCGCCGAAACGCACGGAATCGGGGAGGATTGCTTGACTTAGACTCAGTTCGCAAAGCATTTCGCGTTGAGGATGGATGCGATCCTGACGTCCTCTGTAGAGCTGTGTTGGGCGCATACAGCGGACAGTGCTTGATATGCCAAGGGGAGTGACGTTGCTCCCAGGGGGCTTAGTTCCCTCCATCTCGGGTAAAGATAAGTCCCAGCCTTGTGCACCGAGACTGAGCATTATCGGAATATGCGCTTATTTGGAATTTTATTCCCCACAACGTGCTGCCCCGTGTGAAAAAACAGTTCGTTTTTCCCACACTGACCATGCACTTTTACTGAAGACTGATAAATTGTAGTATATTTACAGTATGCAGTAGTTTCATACAATCAAAGCGTTGTTCCAGTTATGTAAGTGCACTCGTGTAAACACCACTAAATGTACCCATGTGTAATAATTCCTACTGGTTTGAAGTCTAAAGTAAAAACACAAGCATAATATATAACTACACTAAATGACTGAAATTATGCTGTAAATTGTATTTAAGCTCTTCTTTATTTGCTTCCTCCACTGGTAAATTAGCCTGATGAATATTTTAAGCCTCTTAAACAAGGAGTTAATGAGTTACTGTAAAGAAAAAAATGTGCAACGTTCAGGGAAATATGGTTATTGGCCTTCTTCCCCAGCTCACCAATTAACATCTCATTAAAAACAGACAGTGTTAAAACTCTTTTTATGGTTTTACCATGACATGAGGTTATGGCATGACACTGATTGATCATCTACCTCTTGGCAAGAAAGACAAAAAAATATTTTCAAAATGTTAAAAAAAAAAAAAAAAATATTTTTAAAAATTTAAAAAAAAAAAAAAAAATATTTTTAAAAATTTAAAAAAAAAAAAAAAACTATACTTTTAATGAGCTCTTGTGGAAGCAATGGAAATTTCTGTTTTCTTTTAATTAAAGATTCACTGAATAATTGATAATACATTTCGGTAATATTGTATTTTATTTTGAAGGCAAGATTGGGTTAGCTCCTACACAATGTAGCCTATAGAATTTTATGTCCAGCATTGCATATGTCAAACTTCCACCGTTTCTCAGAGGAAAGAAGATACTTCACCTCTCATTCAAGAGGCTTCTTCTGCTTTGACTACCTGAAAGTCCCTGGGATTTAACCTCTGGTTAGTCAGTGGTATTGGCTGTTAATGGTCATTAGCAAGGGCGTAAATTTGGTCTCATCATTGCCACCCCTTTTTAATGCTGCAGACTAAAACTTTAGGATATTATCATGTGTTAAAATAATTTACAGGTTAACATCAGAATAGGTGAATATTGTTACATTAAGTATAATTTAGTAATTTACAATTAATCCATAATAGTGTATATTTAGTCACACTATGATTTCAAAACCTCACCTAAAACCCTGGCTATGAACCTGTTTCCTCATCATCTTCCTCTACTTCTCTGATCTGCTGCTGTTCCGGCATACAACATAATTCGTCAAAAATGATCATACAGTTGAATCAACAACTGTCTAAAACAATTTTAATAAAAACGGAACATTATCATCTTCATTAAGGAGGATTTACTGCAGGACTGTTGAATTAGACTACATCAGTTTTAGCTGGATGTTTCTAATAAATTGCCAACTGAGTGTATATAATTGTCAGTTGTACTCAATAGTTGCAAAGTGCCTGACTGGGATTAATTGGTTGACCTCAGTGCTGTTCTCACCTGTGCACTGATTCACCTGGCAGTTGTTCTGAGCCTAAAGATGCTCGTTAATTTAACATATTTTACCTCTCCTCTCAAAATTTTACTTAACACGTTTACTCAGAGTACATTTTAACTGACTTACTTTGTACTTTTATTGGAAAACATTTTTACAGTGATTTTACTTCTACTGTAGTAAAATGTCTCTTCAGCAACAGTAGTTAGTTGCCGTTCACGTGCGGTCATGGGTGTAGTGCTTCATCTCCTGTCTCTGGAGTTTCTGTTACCAAAAGTTTTTTGCTACTCTGTCTGAACACGGTTAACGTTGCCGTTTTCTTCATCACAGTTACTAACTACCCGCTGTACATTTAAACTTAAACTAGTTCTGCTCCAACACGCAGAGCTTTCTGCTCCTTTTAGCAACTTTCATTAATTCAGCAGTTGTTTACATGCTATTCAGATGCTAGTTAATTTAGCTTAGCGGCTAGCGCTAGCTTCTCTCTCTATCTCGCTCTCTCTCGGTGTGTCTTGAACCAATAGATAAACTTGTCCATCAGAGTGTGGTGTTGTTGTAACTTCAGTGTAGAGAATTGTGATGCTTGTAACAGCTTGAGTGACGTCTGCTGTCTTACCTTCAACACACACCTCCGCTCTTTAACCGGAGCTACCCTCGTCTGTGACCGTCTGTGTACACACTAGCCTTCAGAGTGATAAGCGCTTGCTCGTGACGTATAACCAATCAGATCGTGCTGTGGGCGGGACATTGCGTCAGACTATAGAGTGGACCATAGAGAGCTCATTTTTAAATCACTTTATTTGATCGATTATCGGTTAAAAAAAATAACAACAATAACATGCTCATGCCTAGAGCCGAGTCCGCATCAGAATGATCTTATATGACTTCCCTCCAACACAGTGCGAACGAGTTCACTCAAATATTGGTTGGGACAATTCTGTCATCCTAAAATATTGGTAGGCACATGTCCCTACTGTCCATATGCAAACCTACACCCTTGGTAGTTGGAGTTACCTGAGGCCAAGTGTGATACTTCTCCTGGAAAGGAATAAAAGGACTACATTGTAGGTGGGAGATAAAGGGTGATGAGGGACAGTTTCTTTACTTTGACGTGGATAACCTCCTTCACTCTCCTCCCTATTTTAAGTATGTACATAGTTGTCATCAAAGGAGTGTCCCTTATACTTCAGGTGTAGGTAAACTGCTGAGTCTTGACTTGAGAAGTTGGATCTGTACATTCCACACTGCACTGGACTGCATACACTAGATTGCGGTCTTTTGGATGGACCAGTTCTTGTCTTAGTATGTTGCTCGATTTGAAAAACACAGAAATGCAGTGCTTGTTGAAGATCCTCCTGATTTTCACAGACATTCCAGACACGTATTGGATGACCTTTCATCCTCTCCCAGGAGATTTAACAAGCATTCAGCATTGGCCTAATGTGACTGCAAAAACAATGTTTGTTTACACTTGGCCTCAGGTGATTCCAATGACTGTAACGACTGTCGTTACAACAGCCAGGAGCACTGACGAATCAAGTGACATCAATGGTATTGATAACGACCCCACAGACTATAGCCTATATACCTGGGTCTCCTCACCAGTCTGTCAAAAGTGAGGAAGCCTCTTGGATGAGGGATGAAACGTCTTCAAGTATCTACAAACAAGTCCAGTTGTTCTGATTGAACTTGTCATGGATATTCATGACCTGGATGACTGAGAACCTTCACAGACTTCCACCGATTCATGACGTTGATTAAGCTATCATCTGTGCCATTTATGAATGAATCATCATCACACACACACATACACACACACACACACACACACACTCACACACACACACACACACACACACACACACACCCACACACACACACACACACACACACACACACACCCACACACACACACACACACACACACACACACACCCACACACACACACACACACACACACACACACACCCACACACACACACACACACACACACACACACACCCACACACACACACACACACACACACACACACACCCACACACACACACACACACACACACACACACACCCACACACACACACACACACACACACACACACACCCACACACACACACACACATACACACACACACAGTGACATCTCCTCTCACTTTTGGTGCACACATATTACAAAATTGCACCCAAGTAATCAGTAGTATATAGTATTTGATGACTTTATATTGTTCTCAGCATAATTCACCAAGCTTTAACCCAAAGACAGGTGTATTCAGCCAGAATAATTTAAAATGCTTGCTTAGGTGTGCAGAACCTTTAAGAGCCAGTTATGACATTCAACTGCCAAGAGGTTCTCAAAGATTATGTCCATGGTGCTGAAGTGTATGGTGAATTCAGGTGATGATGGAAATACAGATTAGGGCATTAGGCACCACCGTGAATTACACACATATGAAATCCAAAATTTAGTGAAATTTTAGTCCAGGTTTTGTCCAGTATTCACTGATTTCAGTACTGGTTTGGTCCACCAAATCCTGAGAAAAATATCCAACTTTCAATTGCTCTTTTTTGGCCCATAGTGGCAGGACCATCCATTCAGCTTTCTGATCTTGTGTGTTGTAATCAACTACCTAGTTTTTCATCAGGGCCTAATTAGAGTTTCAGGGACTCAACCATAAGGTTTGGTGATCCAAAACAATCAGCTGACTGTTGATTCTCAGTGACTTAAATACTACTGTAGCAAAACACAATTACAGGTAATCCTTTTATTTAATGGTATAAATATATACAAAAATGTCAATTTAAAGGTACTTTGTATAGTGCTTTATGCAGGATACAGAAAATTATTGTGGCTATTCCTGTTGTTATCCACCTAATTAGCAAATTTTGTGGATTAATCCATTTGCTTTTACCTCATGGATGTATTAATAGAGCTGGACACAGCACTGCCACTCAGTCTTGCTGCCAGTTTGGCTCAGTGTCCACTCCTGGTAAAATGAGAAGAACAGAAAAATCCCCTATGGCCCAAAAAAGCATTTTCTGTTAAGACCACTGTTATTAAAGATATGTCTGTAAAACT